ATTGCCCCCCCCACACACTCTCTCTCTCTCATTCTTTCTTCTTTCCTTGCTCCTTTGTCACCTGTCACCCCCTCCCGCTCCACCCTCTCCATCTGTTTTTCCCTATGCCAGTGTTAAAGAGGGACAATGGCACCCCATGCTGTGTAATGGTGTGTGTGTGTGTGTGTGTGTGTGTGTGTTAATGTGTCGAAGCTCATCTATTCTTCGCTCCCTTCTCACAGGTCGATGACGCCATGCTTATGTTTGACAAAACAACCAACAGACACAGAGGTACGTGTGATGCGCAGCTACGACGTTACTCACGCTCGCATGTGTACACACACACACACACACACACACACTATGTTAATATGTGTCGACACACTCGGTGAGGACACCTACGAACGTGTCCTCATTAATGAAAGTGGAAACAGCGCGATAAGAGTCTCCGCGTGAACTTTGACAAAAAGAGGAAGAAAAATGCAGATTTCTCCCCTCAAGTGAAAGACAAAAGAATGTGAGGTATTCTCTCGCAACGGTGAGGCGCCCGCCGGGGGGGCCGCAACGCAGGGTCAGTGTGGCTACATGTGACTTAATGAGACGGCTGAAGGGAAAGAGTAAACTGGAGTGAGACAAACTGAGTGGGCTAATTGTAGAAGGTGAATCTGGGCTAATTTCTCGGTGAACCGCGCCCCATTCCAGCTCCTCCACTCGATCGACAGGCCGCCCGGAGGATGCTGCCGTGTCTTTTTGCTTTTTGTGATCTGCTTTGTTCACAAAGAGAATTCTGTGTTTTTACATTATTTAACAACGAGTGTGTTTGTGTGTCTTCCAGGCTTCGGCTTCGTGACCTTTGAGAACGAAGACGTAGTGGAGAAAGTGTGTGAGATCCACTTCCATGAGATCAACAACAAAATGGTACGCATGTCCGCAGCCACACATTATCTCAGCCTGAAGAACTAAAAGTCCTCTATTGAACACACCTCTGGTGCCTGTCGAGTGTTGACCATTACGATATAATTGGCCTGTTGTCTGTCTCAGTTCTTTTTACTGGACGTGTTAATGGACGCCTGTTCCCCTTATACTTAGGTGGAGTGTAAGAAAGCCCAGCCCAAGGAAGTGATGACGCCGACAGGTTCAGCCAGAGGCCGCTCCAGAGTGATGCCCTATGGGATGGATGCCTTCATGCTGGGCATTGGGATGCTGGGTGAGAATCAGATAAACAAATGGCTGATAGTAATAAATTGTCGTGAAAGGTTCAATTGCTGAACAGTGGATGTTCAGCGCAACACAAATATTAATGTGGTGGACTATTTTGTATAAAATATGCTGTCATGTAATGTCACGATTGGTTATATATTTAAGTGTTGAAATGAATGCGGTGTGTGGTTATCTATGGGAACCATTTTGGTTCCAAACGGTTCCTATTTTGTCAAAATATGTCTGTTTTTAGGCTCTAACAGAAACCTTTGGAGGCCGAATTTAATCTAGAACAGCTTTCTGCTTTCTAATTGTCATGCTTTATAACAAAACAAACCTCATGCCACGTTAAAAATGTCCTCTATGGCTCCTTAAATGTTGTGTTCTTTGACACAGAAAATCCAGTTGGCTAGAACTACGATTGGCGCCTTAATTGTGTTGATGTGAGAATCCGAGTTCCACCAATTCCAGCGCTACAAATCTATGATGTAGAAATTTAGAGGTCACAGACTGAAGGGCGACCGAGCTCTACACACATGGAGGGAAATATGGTTTGAAAGCATCCGCGTGGCATCATTGGTGCGTCACTGTTGGTCGTGTGGCTCCCTCTACTGGACGAGCATCGCAGCGCCCACCGCCTCAGAAACGCATTGTTAACTCGTGGGGTTTGGTTCGTTCTTACGGGGGGGAAAAGGGAAGACATCATCGCCTTCACTGTAGCAGAAGGAAATGCATTTTTTAATAATTAATGCTGATTAATGAACTGTGATGAACACACAGAAGGCTGCACAGATTCATGATGAAGATCCCATTACTAGTAGCCCGGCTTTTGAGGGAAAACAATTCCATACTTTATTCTAAAAGGTTCCTAATTTGTCTGTTAATAAGCAGAAGAGTCATCTAGTTTTTTTTATGACTCTTTATTCAGCCAAGTTTACTAAACAGATGATTCTTTTTTATTTCCGGCAGGTTACCCAGGTTTCCAGACTACTACGTACACTAGCCGCAGTTACTCTGGAATCGCTCCTGGTTACACTTATCAATTCCCAGGTAAGTCCATGTATCTATCATTTCTTGCACTTTATATGTCTCCTAACAGACAGAGAAGTCACTTTTAAGTCCATCTGCAGTTGATTCAGTTCTCAAGTGCTTGTCAAGCATACACATCTGTTTTCCCCTATTCTCGTGCTTATTTGATTTACGTTCGCAAACCCCTCTTTTTTAGCTCGTACATTTGTGCCCGTCCTCACAGGAGATCTTAAACTTTCTGTGCTTGTGCGTCCACGGTAGCGTTGTGCTGTGGGTAAATGTGTGCGTGGCTCTGCAGCCTCTCCGGCGCGTGGTTACCGTATTCACAGAGCGCCTCTTTTGTTTCCAGAGTTCCATTTAGAGAGGACCCCCCTCCTGACATCATCACACCCCGCTGAGCTGGCAGGTCAGTGTCTCCTTAACAAAAAAAAGACAAGCTATTTAGCAAAGAAAAGTTCAATGAATGTGAATAAGGATATTACTTAAATGTCACTACTATTTGTTTATTTCTATGTAAACTGACCTTCATCGCCTGGTTGTTCACTAGATCAGTGGACCGTTTAACCGAGGGGGGCAAAAAAAACAAGAAATACTTCCTGTGCATGTGATTCTACAAATGATCATTAAGAATGTTGAGAATATTTTTTTCTGTGTATCTTCTGATGTTCAAATCCAAATTCCAAAACATACTTAAATGCATGTTATTTTTAATGAATTCAATTCAAATCAAATTCAATTGGATTTAAATAAAATGATCAATTTGACTGTAAACAGGCGTTTCCTGCCTTTAAGTCCTCTTCACAGTTTCTCCTAATTGAGTTTGGGAGCTGCTTTAAGCCTCCATGATGTTCTATGACTGGCCCTGCGTCTAGTGCTCACAGCGCCATCTGGTGGCTCTGACTTGTATTCGAGTTGTCATCCTCTCTGTTGTTATCATGATCTTTATTTAGTTCCTTATTCAAAACACGTGAAGTCAGATTTGATCTGATGTTATGGTTTTGATACGCAATGCTCTCCACCAGCTGGGTTTAAATCGGATGACAGATATTTGCACAGATGTCAAGTCAACCGAGACTCAGCTGGAGGTTGTGACTCCCGATGTGACGCGAGAGCCTTCCACAATGACAATGCAGTAATTTGGTTTGTTTGTCACCCTCAGCCATTCCCCTGACTGCTTATGGACCAATGGCAGCAGCCGCTGCAGCCGCAGTAGTTAGAGGTACTTCTGTGTGCTGAGACAAAGAAATTGTGTACTTATGCATATGCTTGCCTTCGGTAGAATGTGTGTTCATGGTTGTGCTTGGACAAATTAAAAAGTATTTATAGACATGCGTGTGTGTGCGTGTGTGTGTGTGTGTGCGTGTGTGTGTGCGTGTGCGTGTGTGTGTGTCTGTGTGAAGCCCTCCAGTGCTGAAGCCTGACTTGTCTCCTCCATCTCTCAGGCTCCACCCCTTCACGCACAGCTGGTTTCCTGGGCACCAGCAGCCCTGGACCAATGGCTGAACTGTATGCTGCAGCCAATCAGGACTCAGGAGTCAACAGCTACATCAGCGCCGCTAGCCCCGCCCCCAGCTCAGGGTTTGGTCACGGTCTAGGGGTAAGTCATACGCCCCGCCAAAGCGCACGCACACACACCAGTATATGCATGGGCGCACGCATTATTCATAAATCTAATAGAAAGTCTACCCGCTGTTGTCCGTGTATCCCCAGGGCCCGCTGATTGCTACTGCGTTCACTAATGGCTACCACTGAGAAGACTCAGGGCACTGGAGCTGGGAGGGGCCTCTCTTCTGCTGACGAGCCAATCAAAATGCTGGCTGCCCTCCGATGGCACAACCCGATTGGCCAGCCACAGGCTTTACTGGCTCACTGTGGCCCACCGACTGAATATCTTTTTGAAACTGTTTCGCCGTACTAATCTCACTTCAACATAACGTCCCCACGTTTCTCCTCTTTCGTCCTCGTGTAGTGTTATAACTAGACACCCCCCCTCCTTGGTTATCCATTATTTTCTTTTGAAGCTGAGAAAAGAAAACAAAAAAAATCTCTGCAGACCAAAAGCAGCAGAGGACCATTGTAAGTTTCTTTTTAATTATTATTATTATTATTTTATTTCAATGTGATATGTCGTCTCCTCATGAAATCAGCCGTTACTGATGTGAACAGAAAGAAGAAACTGTGCGACATGGGTGTTTGTCTGAAAACCATTTTTAACAAAGGAAGAACAAAATTCAACAAAGTCCTCTTTTTAACTCTAGCATCGCGAAAACATGGATAAAAACTGAAATGTATATTTTGGTAGTCTTTAAAAACAAAACCTTTGTAATATTGTTATTAATATTGACAAAATAATAATAATCTGTAAGGTATTTTATTCTGTAATTGGTTTTAAAGCAATGTTTTTATGTCTTCCTGTAAGATATTGTACATAGACTAGGGATGGGGGGGGGGGGGGGGGTTGTTTACCGAACCAGCTCGCATGTCATTGGTTGGTTTGAAAGGGTTAACAGCTATTTGATTGGCTGTCATCTGCTACTACGCGTGGTCATCTCACTCCTTCTATCAGCACGCGTACGGTGGTGTGTGAACGCTGTTGGCCAGTCAGCTCCAGCGCTCAGCGACCGATGGCGAGAAATGAAACTTCCAGGAGTTTGTCTGGCACATCCGTACAGTTTTGTCACAAAATCATCACTTTGTTTGCTTTACTTCTACAAAAAAAGCAACTTTGTCTTTCGTAATTTGATCACAAGGAGACAGATTTCTTGCATCTTCACAAACTACTTCAGATTAAGATGACGGACTACCGAAGCGTCACAGGAGGAGGAGTCCGGGGTTCATGGGGTGGGGTTTGACTTGACTTCCTCTTTTTTGAAAATACTGATATATATATTTTTGCGCGATTCACTTGTTAATGTTTGTGTTTTTATTGTTTTCTTCTTTTTTTTTTTGTATTATTCCTGTATGCGGTGTTCTCCGCCGTGAAAACAAATGAAGGACATTCTCAGAGAAGCAACTGTAGAAAACATCACCATCCTGTTCTGTCCTCTTATCGCTGTTGAAGGTGCATGTGATTGCGTCTGGGTGTGTGAGTGAGTGTTTGTGCGCATACATCAAGGTGTAATATGGAACTACTTTTGGCAATGAAGGAGCATTTTGATTGCCAATACTTTTTGGTACTGAAAAAAAAAAAAGAAGATCACCCTGTTCCATTGAGGCTCTTCTGCTCCTCTCCCTCGTCTCCCTCCCATTCCACAGTACGGCCTAATAAATTAGTGCACTCCTGCAACCAAAATGTTCTTGTTTATGTGCAGTTGCTGCTCCCCGTAGCGGTGGACAGAGGGGGGGGTTTGGTCGGTGAACCAGAAATGGAACAGGGTCTCGCTCCCAGTCGGCTCTGATTCAGGAGCTCAGTACAGACTGACCGGGCTGGCAGGAGAAGTGAAAAAGAAGTTGGAACTAATTCAACCTTTGCAAACACAAGCGGGCTGTTTGTTCAGCCTTCTTGCTGCAAGCCTGTTTGATGTTCAGCACAGCAGAACACTTCCTGATCCAGCCAGGTGTTCCTCTGTCAGACCGACCCGGGACACGGCATAAAACTACTGCTGGACACCAACACTGTAACTTTTTACCTTACAATAAAGCAATAAGTTATTTTTTACCTTACAAATGAAAATAGTACTATTATTGGTAAAAGCAGACGACGTGTGGATAATTCTGCGGCATTAAGACTTATTTTCAGAAAAAAAAAGAAACTATATTTTTCTGTTTTGAGATCTTGTTCCCCTTGTATATTGATTTTAATGATGTTTTTATTGTGTTACTGTAAGGAGGCCAATGCTTTGAACGGAGCTCGTCGCTCTACATAAGCTCTGGTCAAGTTTAAGATTTGGGCTGTCCCCTGCCAAGCTTTACAACACTGCTTTTCTTTTTTTCCCTTGTTTTATTTTTCTGATAATTTCAACTTTAAAATCCTAATAAATTATTCTAAAGCATTTGATTCTGATGTTTTTTTTTATAGAGCTGACTTTACGTGCACACTGATGTCACACCGGTCGAAGACTGCAGGCAAATCCAATTTGTTTCTCAAATCACATCTCTGACAGAAGCCGTGTTATTTGCAAGTGACCTGATTGAATTTGTGTGTCCACGCCGGCAACCTATCAGCTTGCCTTTCTGTGCTAGCAGCAATTGTCGTATGTAAAATGTAATTTGTTGTCGGCCCGCATAGTGCTGCTCGTACTCTACTGTGGCAGCGTGGATTCTTCTCAGCACGCCAATCAGATTTAAATCTGATTGCAAACACCTCTCGATGTGCGTTTGATCCCATTTGCATTAATTGAAACCACCGACACAAGTGATCAGATAACGCACAAAAAACGAAACCTGTGACCATGTTTACGAGCTTCTCTCTTGGCCTACGTGACCTCGAAGACGAGGGAAATTAATTTGTTGGAAAGAAGTATAATTTCCAATTCACACAACTTCGTAAATAAGCCAAAAGATAATCTCAAAGACAATCTTAGCGATTTCTCTCAAAAGGAAGTGTAAATCATATAGGATCAGGAAGAATTGTACGAAAAGCTACCAAAGAAGATCAATGCCAAGTTCAAAGAGTAAAAGGTAATAAGTTATATGCCGTTTTTTTCATGTGACAGCAGAATATCTGAGCCACAGCGTTCACAGGTGTTACCCGGCACTGAGCGGGGATCACTTCCACCCATCAGCGTGTTGTGCCAGCAGTGGTAATCAGAGTCTGATCCCTCACACTTGGTCTGAGGGTGGTGTCCTGGGTGGAGGCCAGCACGGCTAGTGATCCTCTCCCATCTCCCTCCTGATCCCTCCCCTCTCGGCAAACTTTGTTTTTCCAGCTTTGGAGGAGGACCACCACTTAAGACCAGTGTTTACAAAAAGAGTTTAGCCTGTTTGTGACTTTTCACTATGTCTCTTGGGGGAGCTTCATTCGCAAGTAAAGAGTCCCCTGGGTGGGAGTGTGTTCTTCGACCCCGGTTCGGAGGAGGAAGCTCCGCCTCCCCTCAGCAGCTACCTTTGTTTGACTATTTTCACCTGTTTTTGTCCCGCATACCCCGTCAACATCGTGGCCCTGATCTTCTCGATCATGGTAAGCGTGGCTTCTCCTGCGTATATACATCACAGTATTCAGATGTTCACTGTGTTTCAGTTACAGTGTTTGAATGAATGTTTGGGAAGTGAAGATGCAACGTCGTCACACACGCACACGTGATCTGCCTATCAAAACAAACCTACTTCCTCCTCCAAAATTGGCCTGTTGCAATCTATTGAGATTTAAGTCATGCTTTACAAAACATGACATAAAGTATTACAAGTGATCAGGTCAGAAAGCTTTAGATGATACTTTTAAGTGTTTGGTTCAGAATGATCATTGGCATTAAATGACCTTTTGATTTCCAGTGACTGACCAACAGCTCGACACGGTCTCCGAGGTGAAATCCACAAATGCATTGACAGACTTTGACGTGTAACGCAGTGGCTTCTGACTCTCAGTCTAGGAGCAGCTATTATCAGGGTGACTACGATGGGTCGAGGCGGCTGGGCAGGAACGCTCTTTATGTGGCTGTGGCCTCCATCATCATCGGCCTTCTCATCATCGCCATCTCCTGCATCGTTCATTTTACCGCTGTAAGACACGCCCCCAGAGTGGGGAAGAATGACTCTGCACCTTCCATTGCCTGGTATTTAATGCCATTGATTGGCTCATCTATCCTCACTCACCCCTCTGGCCCAGCGACCTTCCCATTAGAGGTTTCATAGTGTATACTAACATACTGCAGAATACCTCCTAAATAAGTATGTGCTACATAATGTCTGCTAAATGAAGAATTATGTCACAATGTGCGAGTGATACATTAGTGGCTTCAATTTCATTTTGTTACGCAGGCCTGTGTTGCATATGGAACCATTTTACTTGATCCATGATAATATCAGGTGGGAGTTTAATGATGTTTGCTTTTGCGTCATAATCATTTTCCAGGAATTAGTGCTACCTGTGTTATTGTCAAGAACGTATTCTTATGACTATTTATTTAATTATTATTTCTATTTAATATAACCAGAGCAAAGTTGTTTGCTATTTGCGTCGTGCCACATGATGTAAAAGGCAGCTGGTGAAAGAGATTAAAAGATAAAATCCCGATCGTATCTGCAATATGTATATTACGGCACATTGTTATGCAAGACAAAATATCTAATCTCACCATGTAAATAAAAGTAAATTCTACTTTTCGTGACATGACCGTGGCTAACGCGATCCTGTTGGTACCTCCTTTAAAAGATGTTTTTAATATCTGTCCGCTTGTGTTCCAGGGGGATTTTTGATGCTGTGGAGGTGGAGAGTGGGGGAGAACGCTGCAGGATAATATGGGCTCAGCTGGTTCGTTCATACTGCACCATCTGCCAGCGAAAGGACTACGACGCCTGACGTTTACTTCCATCTGTACATCACTTTGTCTCGGGTTGAACATTCTGCACGTGGACAATCACACACTATACAACATGGTGAATGTGAGCGTTTCAGGAATGAACACCAACAATGCTTTAAATATAAAAAGACAGCTTTCGACAAACGTTTTTGTCAGGCTTTGACTTTTATTAGAAAGATGCCTGTTGTAATTTATCAAGAATAGTGACAATAACTTGTCTATAACTGATCAGAATACCTATTATATATATTAAAAATACTATTTCTCCTTAAATTATGTTTAGTTTTATTAGAAAAAATTGAATTGTTTAATTCCACAACCTTTTGGTTGATTGTTATTATAATATCTCATTAATAAATTGATTAGCAAAAACTGCTAAAGTTTGAAAGACGTGGAAATTGAATTGGCAGTTTCTGAGAGGTCGACACTACTTAGTTATTTGCACAATGGGAAACAGGATGGAGCTGTTTTCTAATAATAACCCGTACCTGGGGTTAAAGGTCAGCACCAGCCTTTGTAGCTTCATTTTAATTACCGTATATTCCGGACTATAAGCCGCTACTTTTCTCCCACGCTTTGAACCCCGTAAGGGCGGCTGAGTCAGATTCACAAATATATGAATTCAACTAAGTAGCATAAGTTCACCATTCAACTGGCTGCTTGCACTTCGACTACTGGTTATGTTTCATATCCCGTATCGTATATTCTTTTATAATACGGGGCAGATGAAATCAAGCGTTCTGATTGGTTGATGATTGGTGCCGCTTATATTCAGGTGCGCTCTATTGTCTGGAATTTACGGGAGTAAATTGTTCAACTACTCCTCTAACATTATACTAATAAACAATTTGACCTTTTCTATGTCACATTAGATGTCTAATCAGTTGGCTCCAGACTATTCCACATTTGGCACAATATTCATGTCATATCATATAAAACACAAATCAAAAGATAACATTACATACTAAATATTTGAGATATGTTGCACCTGTTGCCTCTTACACCCCAAACACCACCCTTCTTTTAACCTTTAAAGGATGCTTAAAGAATTATGTACAGAAACCAATGTTGGCCCATTTCTAATTTATTTTCACCCACATTCATTTCGAAAACTCCCCCGAAGTTCAACCTGCTCGGCTGGGAGGTTTTCTTGTAGTTCGATATGTCATAGTAGAACTCTTCAACTTATAGACGATCCCGTCACACGGTCGAGCAGAGTACCTGTATCGAGGTAACGTGTGAAAAGTGTCACATAAGGCAGAGGGGAAATAAAGGGTTCAGATTGGTTCAAGCAGGATGTTCCTGATCCTTTACGTCCAATTTAATTTCATCTCAGTTCTTTCAGTGTTGCTGTTGAGCATCAATCCTTTTGGGCTGTTTTCATGTTTTCAGGGGAAACGATAACCTAACACCTACAATCAGTAAAGTTTTCATTTGTGATTTGCAGGATGTACATTTTCCTTCAGCGCGTATGGAGGTGGAATTCAAAGCAGTGCCTGTGATGAAACAGGCCTGCTGCCAAGTTTCACTCGGATGAATTCGTTTTGGCAGCGATCTTGTACTGTTATCTCCCAATACTCCAAAGGGCAATTTACAGCTTGTTTGTGGTGCCGCCTCTTTGATGTCACACCAAAGCAAAACTCAAGCCAACGAGGTGAAAAATGAAATGAGTGCTGGGATTAGGCGACTTGAAAGCACTTAGTGAGAACACTTTGTGATCAAGGTGGACTTTGTGACAGGAAGCGGATCACCTCGCTACGCAACGAAGCGAGTTGCATGAAAGATTCACACAAACAAAATGAATTAGGTAGTACAGTAAAGTAAATGTACTCATTACACTTTTTCCAGCATTGTGAGACAACTGCGTTTTTTTCTTCTCTTCTAGAACAATAAATGCTATTATTTTCTTGTTGGCATTCAAAGCTTTGCTGTTGTGTTGCTGGCTGCACTACAGCCCAATTCATTTGGAGAGACCACCATGACTCACATGAAGCGCTCATAAATAGGCCACTCAAAACAGCTGCTTCCATTAGCGCAAGATAGAGGCTCCGTGCGTACATATCCCATGACACATTCCTCCCAGGGAGCAGCAGTTTCAGCCGGTTTGAATACGTGAAAGAGGATAACTGTGGGAGTGATGCAGAGCGCAGACGTGCATTCGGCTACAGCCATGATTGAAATGTTTGTTGTAAATACCGATTTGTTCCTGTTTAATAAACTTTTTTTTCAAAATAAGCTGCAGAGGCAACATTGAAAAGGCATCAGCTGTTGCAATGTGTATTGTGTTTAAATGTCACCGTTTGAACATCCAGCAGACACGGAGCACATCAGCATTCACCAGAGTGGTGACCAGCTGCAGATCTAATGCTGTGGCTGCTAAATGCTCCTCTATATTCATTGACCGCCGCCTGTTGTGCAGGTGACGTGCAGTAGGGGAGCTGACTCAGGAAATAGTTTACTGAAAAGCTCTAATTGTATAGAAATTATTTATAGATTCCATTTCAATATTTTGCATTCAAATAAATTAAAAAATGACATGCTATTTTCTATTTTTCATGCTATGTTATCAGTTTCATCTTTTAATGCTGGCGAATAAATAAATCAATGCTTTTGTTTTGGGAACTTAATCCTTTAAAATGTGTTTAAGGCAGAGATTCAACGACAATAAATAGAAAATAAAAGGTTTATTTTTACTACTTTTCTCCCCTCAAGCGTCGACTGGCCAATCACAGCTCAGCCTCGGGAAGCGACCCCCTGTGGCTCACAGAATGTGAGGCAATCCTTTCAGATTTCTTTATCTTCAGGCTGCTTTTGTGTATTTGAAACTAGTCATGATGGATCATTACATGTCCGTTTCTGGGACAGTTGGAAGGTAAACAATGTTTTTAAAATGACACGAATGAAAACCAGTGGACATATTTAGGAAAGTATGTTAGTACATCATTATTTCGCCTTGGTACTTGTATGCTTGACATCGATTGCTCACAATGGACATGGAAGGACATCCTTGACATCTGCAATGTTGTGAAGTTTAGTATTCAGTGTAAATTATGCAAATTTCAGCGCTAGCACAAGTTTCATTTGGGGTGTTTTTGGCGTTACATCATGCAGTGTTTGTCATGAATCACAGTTCATATGAATAGCTGATGGACGTAGATGACTTTGACATTGCTACCACGGCACACGCACAGTCCACCAGGGAAGATGCAGGCTCCTGATTTGTTCCATAAAGCCTGTTAGTCTGCACACATGTTTTACAAAGGTAAATCTAACTCTCCTACACTTGCCAGTAATACTGTTTGTGGCCTATAGAGGGGCCTCAAGCTAAGTGTAATGTACAAACAGTAAACAGACATGGATATGAAGAACAGAAAGTTCTAACAAATCAAACTCTGTCCAGCACACAGAACGAACCATGTCTGTACCGACTCTAAGAAGAACAACGTATTCCAATAAACATTAACATGCAACAATTGATCCACATGGTAGGAATGGACTTTTTAGGCGGGACATTTGCCTGTTGTTAGAGTCTGTCTTCATTTAATTTCTTTAAATTTCAATTCAATTTCAATTTAGATTGAAACCGATCATATATTCAAATTCAACCATCAAAACTCATTTCAGTTCACCCTCCTTGCGTAGCAACCACATGTAGGTTTAAACCTCACAAAGAGCCCATGTTGTGTCACAAGCCCCAAACAAATTGTCTCAGCAACTTGAGCATCCTGTGAGGGAGGTCATTTCCACTGACAAAGTAGAATCATTAAACTGACGCAGACGCCTCGATGAAAAACAACACAGAGTTTTTCCTTTGCAACAGAACATAATGTCCTGTGTGTGTAAACTCACCCCGCACACGCTGCCAGCTGCTTTTCAGCCCGTAAGACAGCTCTGTTCATGATAGTGACATATGATATGTAATATATATATATATATATATAAATAAATACATATATGTGATCTCCTGCCATACAATTGTGCGCAGCTTACATAAGAAAAGGAAGCATCAGGATGGAAGACGCAACAGAAACAACCATAAAACTTGGATGAACGAGGAAAGGTTCTGTACAAACTTAGCTTTTATCATTTGCAAAATGTCTGAAAACATTAAATTGAAGCCTGGGATGGAGCCTTTATTGGGGTTTCTCTCATGACATACGAGAGGGAGCGCTCCTCCCTTTGTTGCATTGTCTTGTCTGACAGGCGGCTCCATCCTCCCCTCACACGCTGCTGTCTGCAGGAGGCGCCCCGAATAATCACATCCAACCCATTCCCGTCTCCCGTACGCTTGATATCACTGCTGACATCGACTACACCCCCTCCTCCTCCCCCTCCCTCCCCCTCTCTCTCTCTCTCTCTCTCTCTCTCTCTGCTGTCAAAGAGCTCTCGCACCAGCGAGTGTGCGGTCCTGCATCGCCTTCACTTGTGTGCGTAGTGGAGCAGATGAGAAGGGAGGAGGTGAGGCAGAAGACGGAACTGTAACCCGTGTGAGCAGAAACGCAGGATGGAGGATGACTGAATTGCACAGAGGGATATTTACTCAGGGGACAAAGTGTTGGCGGGGCAACTGAGGTAAGTGAGCAACTAGTATGAATCTTCGGCATGTGACAATACACATAACGTGCGAGTCGTAGTGAGCTGAAGTAAACGTCCAGACTGTAGGAAAGATGTTTTTCAGTCCACAGCACTTAAAATGTGAGCTAATTAGACACTAAGTTAATCAACAACACACCAGGGGGGGTCTCGTGCAGTCTGAGTCTCTGGGATTGATGACAAGCCGCTGGAATTTCTTAAAAGTGGGAGGCTCCTCTCCACCCGAGACCAAACGATCTGGGACTTTATCAAATCCCTGCGTGAGCAACCTGGATTAGAGTTGTGGGTGTAGAGAATTCACTGAGGCAGGCAGATCAGACTGATTGAAAAGGAGCAGTGGTCTGGGTGTCATTGTGCTGTCAAGGTTTTTGCTTTTTGTGCGTTAATCACAGAAAGAAACAAACAAGTTAACGGTTGACTGATGTGTAGAAAGAAAAGGATTCAAGTCAGAACATTGGAGTGATTTACTTCACAAGCTTTTCTCACAAAAAGTGAGTGCACTCGTGCTACTGGTCCCCTTTTTGACAAGGCAGAGCAATTGGGAACTTTTAGTTATTGTACTGCAAATTAAGATTCAAACTCAATAGTGAAAATATTTGTGAAAAAGAAAAGCTGCCGCTCTCGGCGCTGTTGTAGGATATCCTTGTCTCAATTGATTTAGCCATTCACCCACAAACATGATAATCAATTAAAATTGATGGCTTTGGTTGAATACTGAACTTTGCAAATTATTTATTTTAGGGACCAGAATGCACATTGAATGTCAAATAACTCAGATATCTCTAAAATGTCTTTGATCTGTTTCCAGGCTGAGTGAGTACTTATTAATCCAACGGGTCACAACAACAGTAACTCGGAAAAAGTTTTTATGATTGATAAGCACTCTCCAGATGAATACTATTCATGACGGTCACATTAATCCATTGTTAACTATGCACAATACAAGTGCAATTCCAATGTAAATTTATGGGTATGCAAATGTGCTTAATGGAAAACTAATGGGAGTGCATTTTCAGTACTGCAGTACTGCAGATGTTAATTTGAAGGACTATGAAGAAAGATGAGGACCTGGAGTGTCGATGTGTGCAGTATGTGTGAGGATAGTGCACGAGAAACCAAAAATTAAACCAATTACAGAATTAAATTTGATAAAGAATTTGGGTTTTATTTTGGTGAACTTTATTTTGTGAGTATCTGAAGGCTTGCAGTGTAGCAGAGGTGCGTGTGGAAAGAGAAGATGTTTGGGAGGAAGCCAGCATCATACATTTCCAGTCTTAGAATGTGGTTTGGGGCCAATAACAGTGATATTGCTTGTTACTGACATTTTATCAATGAGCATACTTTGATGGGTGACGTGCAGCGATTGAACATGACACGTGAAAATAGGCCTAAGAATATGGGATCACTTTAAATGTGGTTGTGTTAAACTAATTGAATGCACTTCATGGGCTAATCCAAGGAAACACTCATTCTACCAAATACAGCATAGTATCACGATATTTTGTGTGGCGATATTGTATCAATACACGGAAGCCAAGTATCGATCTTTAAGTATATGATTTATACTTTTTGGTCCGAGAATAATAAAATAAATAGCATTTTCAGTCCACTAGGTGGTGGTGTGTTTTCTGGTGAGGCCAGCAGAGGTCACAGGCCAGTGTGATTGGGAAGTTGGTCGAAACAAAAATGGAGATACTGGAGTGAGAAAAGAGAAATGCGGCGCTCTGCATGTTTGTGAAGGGGTGGAGCTCCCCCTGCAGAAAAACAATAGGAATTTTTTATTTCAACGAAGGGAAGAAAGAACCTGAGACGTCGTGGCCACGACCCATAGATAACGTAACCAATAACGACCAAGCCAACGCTAAATCAGATCCACCGAAACATCAACCAACACCGGACACACCTTCCCTCGCTCCCTACGCATCTGATGAATGTTTCGGTGTTGTAAAATAAACAATGAGAGAATGTAAACTGAGCTTGGTTCTACGTCCCATTTAATTCTTTGCTTGTGTTCAATTTGCCCTAACCCTTCTATTTGTCCCTATTTTACAGGCCCCCTGAAGCCTCTCTTGGTAATCTCAGAAAATGCCACGAGGCTCATCCGTATGGTGGAGTGGTGGTGTTTCCCCGTAAAGAAGCTGAAGAGGAAAAAGGCGCTTTGAAGTCTTAACATTCAAAGCTGCAGTGAGATGTACAGGCAGGTTTCTCTGCTTCTGTCCGATCGAAATATTCAGCACAACGCAATGTGCATCGTGCCCCTTTTACATTCCCAGTACATATCGACTTTCTTCTCCTCACAACACCATGCATTTAGCTACGTGATGAGAATACACTGAGCTAAGTTCATCTGTGGACAAGAGCAATCAGAATCATACGGATCCAGGCTTCTGCAAATAAGTGTTAAATCAAGACATTGGATATATTGAGTCTCACTTGTTCCATAATAGTGAACTAAAGATCAACACCAGACTCTGCAGACCGGCCTTCATCATGGAATCTGAAGAGAGGATGACAGGCCTGTCCACAGCTGCCATGGTGGCCATAGCCTGCAACACATTCGTCGCCATCCTCCTCCTTCTTCTGTGTCTTATCCTGTACCGAGCCTGCGGGGTCCCCTCCAGCCAAGAGAGGCTGCCGGTGCTGGGCCTGAGTGAAGAAGAAACCCCTCAGGTGAACCAGCACAAGTACCTGTTGACCTCCTGACTGCCGACGGATGAGTCAAATGCAGCGTTGAGAAGCTGGCGAGGGAGCACTGGGACCGACTGCGAGCAGGAATTAGACTTTAGAATTAGATTTTAAACTCAGCTGCCGAGCTGGTGGCAGGAGTGTCGCTGAGCCTCCCGGAGGTAGCGAGGATGGATTGTGGTGGAAGTGAGTGGACTACTTTTCTTATGCAGCTGTCGCTCGTCAGATCGCGTCGTGTGGAGGAACGCTAAATGAGAATGTCTAGCATAGACGCACGCGCACACACACACACACACACACACACACACACACACACACACACACACATATGCATAGGAAATGACAAGGCCACAAAGATGGATGTAGGTTACATAAAGGCGGAGAGAGCGCGACGTTCAGTACACAAAGAGCGGCTGCCCTGTTGCTGGAGGTTTCTAAATATATCTTCTCTGTACTCTCTCCGGGAAAAAAGACAATGCCAGTATATTGCTGAAAACAGGGACTTCAGCCTGCACAGTGTGTGTGTGTGTGTGTGTGTGTGTGTGTGTCATTGTCACTCATAAAAAAACAGCGATCTGTGAGGCATAGCTCCTTGATGAGGGTGTTACATAAGGACTAGAGAGGCTTAGTCGAGATTTGTGTCCTCTTCAACACGGCCCTCGCGCTGACATCTGCTTGCGGCTGCACGTGACGTCCCACCCGCTCCGGACTGAATCACAGCTCGCACACATCAGTCATGTGGAGTTCTACAGATCACAAAAACAAACCACTGCAAATGATCAATACTTCTTTGTGTGTACGTGTATGGCCTGTGCTTCAGAGTCAACGAGTTGTAGAGTTAGAAGATATAATGTACCACTATGTACATTGTGTATGTACACAATGTAAACTTTAAAATCAGAGGACTCAGAATATATTAGTGTTGATGACATTAAAACAATTGTGTGACTACTGTGTGTAGAATTTAAGATTTCAAACTTCGGGGTAACCCGGGTCAGTGAGTGTGCAGCCGAGGCGCCCCGGGACGGTGGCATCGGACCCATCGTCCGATGGACCCTCCATGGAACTGCTCCACCACGATTTTAGTACCGCATTCCCCGGCTGCAGCCATCTATCCAATGCAACCGGGGAACCGGGCCCCTCCCTTGGTCCTCGAGGGGACTGCCCCAGCCGGTCCACGACGGCTCTTTTTACTTCTGCGTGGATGCGTCTGGCCTCGGCTGGAAGCTCTGGACGAGATGCTAGCATGCTAACACCCTGTTCGCTTGCAGTAACTAACCTTTTAGGTAGCGGAATATAGAATGGGTTTAAGAAATCCCTGCATTAAGAATGAAAATTCTAATGTTGCGTTGTTTAAAATGTATTAAGTACTACAGCATGAATAAATGCATTGATTATTCAAACTGAATCAAATGTAGACATCAGACAAAAAACATTTTTAATAAAGATATAGAAATACAATTTGTTGTTATGTTGATGGCGTTTTACTACAGGCCAGAATACATCTTTCTCTGTGTTGCTGCAACGTTAAGCTGGCAAGCTTTCCTCGGGTTCCCTCAGCAGACTGAGGAGCTTCTCCATCTTGGCTACTTCCACTTCTGTACGCTGCGGCGGATCCTGACCCCTCTTGGCCTACGCACGCACACACACACACAAACAGATGCAAAGAATAAGTGACAGTAATTGTAAATCATATTATGCTTAGCAGGCGCTTAGGGAGACCACCCAGCCTTCAACCAGAGGAGAACACAACACAATCAGACATACGTTGGAATGAATGTTAGGTAAATATCAGCAGAGTGGTGGTGTTAACTCTCTATATAGTAGTTTATTTCCACCCTATGTGATGTTTGAAGACATGAAGCTACTGCTAACAGGATGCTGATTCAATATACCAGTTCCCACTTTTCCAGAGAAAATGTTGAGCTCATCCAGCTGTCAGCCTGCGTACCCCCAAAAAAACATGATACAGAATGGATGATTAGCTGTGGGGAGACTAAGAGGTGTGCGCTCACTCACGGACGGACTCACACGCAAACTCACACTCGGACCGGGTCGCATGATCCTCCTTTTAGGGGTGGTGGTACCGATGGCTCGTTACATTTCCCACTATCTGCTACAATGATATTCCATCATGGCTGCTACGTAATGCTAATCTAACATTCAACATGAGGGATGAAACTACCTTTATGCATACTGAAATATACTTCATATATTTTGGAGTGAAATGTTGATGATGGACACCAGCATCCCATAACGCCACGAACAATACACAGTACAAAAACCTGGTTGCAACAATAAACACTTAAGTCTTCATGAATCTCTCTATTTAGATTATCTACTGTAAGTAAATTGGCACAAAATGTTTTTTTAATAGATTTATGAATAGAAGTGACTGACTGACCTCAACTCAGTAGAGAAAAATGAAGGGTGACATCAACTCGTCCTCTGAAGCTTGAGAACTGTAGATTGGTATTGTGTTATAGCGGTTTCAACGTTTCAAATGGATACAGTGAGTGGGTTGATCCAGAGAGACAGACGTGTTCCCAAAACAAATAAGCATCAGATCTCGCTGCAGCATAATATCTGTGCCATGATTAATGATCCAATAAAGCTTCCTCCACAGTGGAGAGGAAGGCTGTCCAGGTACAAACCGTCACTTCTATTGAATACAACTGCAAAAGTGAGCATAACCAGAAAATATTGTCTTCTCTCAAGACGTCAACATGTGTCCTGATTTATTTTCTTAATTTCTTTCTCTCTTGCTAAACACAGCAGTGAAATCCCAAACTTGTTCTTTCTAAAAGTAATAGGAGACAGGAGGGCCCATCTGCATCGTAAGGCCCAGACTGCCGTGTCTGCTCACTTTCTAGCATTCGTGAATACAGATATTCTGTATTCGGGGAGACGATTGGGATTAGTAGACAATTACAAAATATTGCACAATGCTTCTTTTATGTTGCCACAAGAGAACACACAGGGATCATCTGTGGTCATCTAAAAATGATGAACACTTCCATAGTTGACTACAATAAGCACTTTCGGTTGCCTAATATGCATTGTGTGAATTGTGAAGCGCTTTCATATAAAGTGAACTCTGCATAAACTCTATTTCCCTTTAACTCAGAGACAGCAGACAGTTGTTTCAAAACCACAGACCCTAAACGAGAACTCCACATCTCCACAGACACATCTGTGTGCATCAGGCACGCTACCTGTCGACCTCATGCTTACAACTAGGAAGTAACAGCTCAATTCAGCACAACAGCGAGCCCTCACCCTCTAAAATAAGTACTTTCTGTAGTTAATTCTGTTTTCTGACACTTGACAGAGTTACGACTTTTGACCTCTCATTTGGGAAACCGCAATCAAAGAATTCCTTTTGAGGTCAGCTACAAGTGGTATTGTGCCAATAGTGTGAGAAGGTTAATTGGCCACCATGTCCACTGTGCAGGTTTTAAAGGGCTGCCGGGCAATTTTACAACTTACTTTTACTAATAATATATTCCGCTGGATGTTGTAGCCTGATTCGTATTTGCCACACTATATTCCACTGTCACTGGCAATTAACTATGTAATTACTCCCGAAATTGTTTGCTTTAGAGTTACAGCCTGAGGTTGCTAATGAGGTAGCACTGTATGTGTATGCGTGGACAATGCCGTGCTCTTCCAAACTGGGTTCATTGTGAGTAGTTGACCAAGAATTGTTCCTGTGTGTTAAACTAAATTGTGCCACGAAGAAGATGTGTGACCAGCACAAAGCAACACAAAAGAAAAGGCTGGAGAGCTGCAGGACTGACTCTGAAGAGGCGCTGATTAAAGTGTTGTGACTCGGCGGGCCATTAGGTTTCCTCCTGCGTTTAGTGGGGCCGCTGTGATTACGCCACTGCTCATTTACCATTGTCACTTGGTGGAAAATAGCCTTCAGTGACTCATCTATTGTAAATGGAGGAGAGTGGAATTTGGTTTTACTGTATAGTGTATATAACAACTTTGGAAATCCATCATTTCTGTTGGCTTTCTTTTCTTTAGGATTATTTCCCCCATTGTGTCCTGTGATTTATAGTCTAGCTGGTTGTATTTTCGAAAGACAGGAAGATGACTGACAGATCCACAACCTTGTACAGAAACCGGCCTTTAAAACCACTGGGCTACCAGCAGTTGATTTGCAGTACCATTTGTATGTAATGACAATGACAATGTATGTTCTGCTGCTCCTTTGAGGGATTTTTCCTAACAAGCTCATTAGATTACAAAGAATTATCTAATTCGCTGCGGCTGATTGCTTACTGGCCTAAATGACAAGGGAGAGAATAATACAGGCGATTAGTGATTCTAATGATGACCTGCTGAGGAGGGGGGAGAACAGTGTTGTTTTGATGAAATAAGCTTGAGGTCAGGACTTCACTGATACTGAACAGTAATACAAAAGGAGGACTTGCATGCACATCATTCTCGGACACGATGGCATATGGGGAGTTTAGAATGTTATCAGGTGATTGATTGGCATCATCAATGGTCATTACTATCAAGGAAAAGGTAATCACTAATGCAAGGAACTTTGTGTTTCACACAAGACTCAACCAATTGTGTACAAGGGGAAAGTCCTGTGGATGTTTGAACGATGCATCGCCACTGACCACCTTCCTAAATGGATTTTGTCCCAGCCTCCATGAAGACCTTTTATTAGAAGCAAATTACATGTAGTGGCCAAGCAGTGGAATTATATATCCACTCCACTTATATATCCTAAGCCGTCACTTAAGGACATTGGAAGGGAAAAACATCAGTTTCCTATACACTTACACTGGTAAACAGACCTTTGTAACTTGCAGTACATCAACCTCTCAGTAGTAAAACACAAATACAATTCAGTTCGTCTTCTTGTCTTTGTATCTGTGATCAAATACCCGCAGGCGAACCGGCGCTGATAATGCCTTTTCAATCCAATGCCTGGACAACCACACAATCGGCCATTCAAATGCCGTGGCATGCAGAACTCACGTCTCCACAGTGCTGAAAGTAGCAGAACATTTGGTACTAAATTTGTAATGTGGACGAGCTCCATTCCTTTGTGTCAATAGAGCCTTATTATGAAGAAAGAAAAAAAACATGCAGCAGTAAAGCAGCTGCATTTGGAAGGATGGGTTTATTTTCTCACCACTCATAGCCAGGCTTAGAACAGGCAGAGCTTTTGTGGTACTATACTTCAAACCATTGTGCCGGGATGGAAATTCCCTCTCTTGCAACTTGATCTGTTTCTTACCTTTGGTTTCTTGCGGAGGTTAGGGGAGAGTTTGAGGCTGATGACATTGCCTCGGTCATCACCCACTATGAGGAGAGGATAGATGGGATTGAACTCGATGTGAGTCAGCTCGGTTTTCTTTTTGACCACCACTGCCTGCTTGCAGATTTCCTCATATTTGTTGATGTTGAGGTCAAAGACATGAACCTGAAAAAGATGAGCAATCAAAAGAATGATTTTTTTTTTTACATTTCCGACCGACCGAACTGAGATTTGAAAAGTTTCCTTTCATTGTTAACACTGACTGATCTATCAGACCTCCAAATTTATGAGGGGCCAACGTGATCTCCAAAACCTGTTCGTAAAAATGTATACGAAAATCTTGAACATACAAATTTGTAACAATACATACGAACTGGCGGTGGTTAACCACGCCCCTTGAGTGAACAACATGGCGGACCATGTCGGATTCTTAAGTGAACGTCTCTCCGCCATGTTGGATTTTTTGAGGGGGTTAGGGTTAGTATTCTATTCTTACAAGTTAACATTGATTTCTCGTTAAAAATGCAATCATAACACGTTTATTTTACATCGTTAGACTTCACGAAGTGTGTTTACGGGGTGCAGGTCCCCGTTCACTTTGAATAGGGGGACGTCATCAGTTGCAGTCCATATTTATTTAGTATGTATCACTACGAATTTATATGTTCAAGATTTTCGTATACATTTTTACGAACAGGTTTTGGAGATCAGGCTGGAGGGGCAGGGGGCGGGCTGAATGCTCATCATCTAATATATGCATAATTGTAATGGACGCTGTAGAACGAGCGGCTTTGCGCAATACATCTTCAGTCTGGACGTGACATGTGGGTCTCCTCTCCGCGCTGACTGCGGCTGGGACTGCTGCGCGAGCCGTGAGGCTCCTGTGAGACTGAATCGCTGAGCTCAGGACAGTAACTGCAGAACTGTCTTCAAATTTGTTGTCCTAACACATTTTTTATAGTTAAGGCAACAAATACCTTTGAAAAAAGTTGAACTAACTCAAAATGTTAACTCTACTAATAAGTAGTGTAATCCACTGAAACCTTTAAGTAGAGAAAACCGCACCCTCAAAAGAGGAAGAACATAAGTTTCTCTTTTTCTTTACTTTGTACGTTACAATAAATCGCACCCTTTTCTTGTGCAGCTAGACGTGTATCCGAGTCCGGTGATTACACCCACACCCGTTGGTTTCCACAATACATATAGGGTACATTGCTTTTTGACACAGTTGTTGTTCTTTTTGTTTAGATACCTATTTTTCACATTTCATTTAATTGACATTTTACTTATACCTAAATCTTAATTGAGTAAGAATGACCTGCTGTAACAATGTCTGTTTACAAGTGTCCAACAAAGGGAGAAACACTTGCTAACCGCCGTAAAAGCACAAGGAGAAGAAGAGGAGAAATAGAAATACTTTTTCCACTGCGCATGTGCACGTCTGCAGGGGACAGCGCATCACAGCTCCAGTGTTGCTGCAGAGTGCCGTTCACTTCATGCATAATACCATGTCAGACTATTTTTATTCTTGACTAGTTAGTCAAGAGGGTTAACATTAACAACGTAACAGACTTTTCACGTAACTTCATGTGTATTCATTTAACGATGGCGATCCGAGCCTTGCGGTTTGGCTTTAGGTAACATAAAATGTTCAGTGTTGTTTTCAATCAAAAAAGAACACATAATTTCAAGTTCCTCAAATTTAATATGAGTGTTCTGAACTTAAGTACCCGAGTAGATGTGACTATCAAATGCAATATTTTGAGTAGAAGTATATTAGTAGGTCTGAATAATGATAATGTTATTCAGTAAGTTAGACAAACGTAGGATAGCACTTCTTATCAATCTAATCTATATATTAGTTGAATATACTTAAGTTAAGCAACTACTAAGTACTAAGTATACTTGAGTATTCTCAACTTTTTTTAGTTCGAGTTTAGAGTGCAATAACACCAAAAAAAGTTGCTAAATTTCTCACATCACCCTTTCTCATTGTCTCACTCCTATCTCAGCAATGCTGGTTTCTCCCACTTGCTGGCTTTTTATTCTCACTCATCCTGCCCCCCTTTTGCTCAGAGAGAAGCCTCCTCCTCTGAACGAGGGCTTTCTATGTGCAACAAATTGCTAGCCATCCTTCCCGCCTGAAACTCAACCGATTCTACATTATCACCCACCATCTCACACAACACATACTCTACAAGTAAAGGGCTTTTCATTGAGGGAATTGAAACGCCCTCATTTCTTGCTAGGTTGCGTGCGACTAAGATGGGTAAGAATGCCCCCTGGGAGGTTTCTCGGCAGGGACAGCTGAGACTCCACCTATCATTCAATATTGCTGTACAAAATAGATGATACAGGTTTCATTATTGTACTAACTGTAAATACATCCCTGTGAAAGTACTACAGTAGTAGAAAGAATAGTACAGACACAGTAGCATCAAGATTTGACTGTTATGAAATACAATAAAATCACAACACAGGTGCAGAGGTTAAGGAAAGGAGAGGATGAGGGCAAATACAGGCTGGTAAATTGTGCATTGGCATGAAACCATGCTTGCACCATTTGAGCTTGGTGGAACCTAACATTGTCCCACACAATGACATCGGTCACACCATCAGCTCTACAGACCTGATCTAGCTCATCAAGGAAGGTTACAAGGAGAGCGGCATTATAGGAGCCCTGCGCCCTACCACACCATCTTGGTGTTGGCACAATTGGACAAGTAATTACAAGGCCTGCAGCATGGCCTGAAAAAGTGGTACATGGGACTGTAGAAACAGTGTGATAGAGAATAGAAATAGAGAGATAGAGAGAACAGAAAATGTAGTCCAAAAGGTTTATTGTTGGACCATACGATCCACGACTTTATGGGCGGGCGGGCGGGCGATGTATGTATGTATGTATGTATGTATGTATGTATGTATGTATGTATGTATGTATGTATGTATGTATGTATGTATGTCTGTGTGTATGTGCGCGTGTCTGTGTGTGGTGTTATAACATTACACTGCAGGATTCCTGCCGAAACTCATGGAATGTTTGAATTTCTTCCAGTATGAGAGTTTCACTTTCTTCTTTCCCTCAGAGTCTTTCAGCACGTCCACGTTTGGTGAGTGGAGGTTTTCCTCAGTCTGGCAGGTCTCGGCATTGGTCTCCCGCTCCTTGTTGGTTGAGGCCAGTGGTTCGTTCAGGCCTTCCAGGTGTTTAAAATATGTCTTCTTCTCAGAGGCGTCGTCCTCCAGGGTCTAGATCTGTTTCTTCATGTGGTGAACCAGAAGGTCCTTCTCTGCCATCAGCTGTTTTGTGGCTTCCAAGTCCTCCGACATACTTTTTACTTCAATCATTAACTCCATTTCATGGCCCTGTTTGGTCTGAAGTTGTTCTTTCAGGTCCTCCAGGTCTTTGAAATGTGTCTGGTCATTCTCAGACAAGTTGTCTTTCAGGGTGTTGATGTCGAACTCCAGTGCCACGTGGAGCTTGGTGGTATGAGCCAGGATACTTGAGACGTGCTTATGTTTCAGGTCGTTCAAGAATTTTACACCATTCTTTTCTGTTTCAGAGGCGTTGTTTTTAAGGGTGATGATTTCAAACTCCAGTGCCACCACCTTCTTTTCAAGAGCCTCCTTCTCGCTGATTTTGTCCGCGTGCTCTTCTTCGTGGATCTGGTTGGACTTAAGCTGAAGTTTCAGCTGCTCAAGTTCGTCAAGGAGAGTTTGTTTTTCCTCCCTTTTGAGCTGAAGCTCTGCTGAGAACTTATGCTCAAGGATTACATAAGATGTTTTCATGTTCTCATATTCCATTTGAAGGTCCTTCTTCTTTTTAGTCTTGATAGTGGTGCGAGCCTGGCTAGCAATCCCGAAGGTGATCATGGTCTCTGGGTTACTGGCCCTCTTGAGTCTCTCCATCTCCTCACGGGTTGATGAACATCTCTTTCAGGCCCTTTTGGCGGGCCAGCTCCTCTCTGCACTCCTGTAGTTGTTGGAACACAGAGCTGCTTGCGTTGGTGTCTGGGGCGGCTTGGACATACCAACTCTGCTGCCTTGCTTGGCCCTGGTTGGGGTTTTACTGAAATGTTTGTTTTAGGCAATCTGGATACTATAATTTAACGTTGCAATTAGGATTAAATATTTGATGATTTCTTGAGTCAGTGTTCCCACTAGGAATACCACCCAAACTAATGCTCATTCACGCACACTCAACCACTGATGGCACAGCTTTGGAGCCTTTTGTCATCCAGTATCTCGCCAATCCCCACTTTGACACGTGGACGTGAGTCGCTGTGGAACCAACAACCAACCCCGAATAGAGGACGACCCGTTCTACTTTTCAGCCAGAGCCCGTAGTATACTTGATTGCATACTTACACTGTCAAATATATTCATTTTAAATCAATTTTAGAATATTGTTTTTTATACTATTATTTGTATTGCTTTAGGTTGATGTTGTTGTCAGATGAGAGTGATAAAGCTAGCATGAGCTGATGTAGGTTTTCTAACTAAAACATGGATGACCGCATGTGCAGAAAGTTACAAAGAGCTGCACAGTGAGCAGATATGGATTGGGAGTCTAATCAACGGAGGATAGGCCTGGTCCTTTCATTATTTCACCCCGACACTCTTATTTCCTCATTTGTCAGTTCAGATGGAGAGGCAGGGACAGAGAAGATATATTTGTTTCACTGCGAGTCAGTGCCACTTTTACACCTCAACTTGAAAGGCAAGTCATTATCATGATGAACACATGTACGCACGCACGTATGAGCGCACACTCACCCACACACACGCACGCACAAAAAACACGTACGCCACCGTGTCTGTGAGATTTTGCAGTGTGACAGCAGCAGCAGCAGGTCAGGTTTTCATCAACAGAAAATACACGTCAAGGGGCGCACAGCTCACGCTGAGTCACTCAAAGCTCCACCAGGCATAGAAAACAACAACGTGCTGAATAGAATCAGCAATCCTGGGGGTTGGAATATACTCACTATCATCACTCACGATGATCTCAACAGTGACTGTGGAAAGTCTGACAATATTCTTCCATTCTTTAAAATGTGACAGCGACCATAGAGCAAGTTTAGCCTAAACTATTAGTGGATCCAGTCAATTCCGCACAGCCCTCAGTGCCATCCCTTAGTTTAAAGATGACATTTACTACTTTGAAATGTGGCATCACACCAAATAGTAATATAATATTGATGTACAATCACTAGCTGGCGTCAACGGGTTAAAGGCTTTTTTTAAACCTTAAATCTCAATGAAAGATTTGAGTTTAGCACAAGGAGGAAAAAAAGGACCAGTACACTGACCTTGATCGACTCCAATTTAATAGTCTTGGTCCTCCTGCTGTAGCGGATATTGTACTAGAAAAATGTATGCCAACTTATGAGCTCTAAATGAGTTTCTTTAATAGCTGCTGAAACTGCCAGTATCTTAGAATAAATGACTAGATGTGCTTTCCACGAATGTTGTTTCATGTTGTACGTGTTTAAGATTGAAAAAGAACTGTATTATTTATGTGAAACTTAGCTACATCTATAGTTGTGCCTTTGTAAAAAAAAATCCGATGTTTCCTCTCTTCCATAACTAATCAGAACTGATGTTTGGTTGTGAAACAATTTGCATAATCATTGATACACTAGAGTATGTATTATATAATGGCCGGCCTCAATTTGCCATTGGAAGGGACGGGAACCCCCCCCCCCACACACACACATACATATACATATACACACACAAACACACACACACACACACACACATACGGTGTGTCTGATATTGCTCGGCTCTCATTTCCTTTTCATCATTCTCACACAAATCCACTTGGCACACTGGACAGGAAATGTGTCAGACGCAACACTCGGACGTTCATAGCGGGGGGCAGGCTGGTGCGAAGACAAACAGGTGGGGACAGCTCGCTGCCAAACTTAGAACATTTGTGGAGATAAGCAACACTGGCTTCAAGGATATTACTGGCAGCAATCACTGACCACTGGCAGGGTAGGAACCGCCTTTGTCTCAACAAACCGTGTCTGACAAAACGCCATTGCCTCAGAATATTCTGCATTCATTTGAGGTTCAGCATATGAGCGTGGCAAGGGTTTAGGCAGCTGAGTCTATGAGCCTCATAATGAAGTGGGATGATGGTGCAGCACTTCACCGTCAGTCAGATAAGTGTTGAGTCCTCGTCATATTAGCAGATGTGTGCTGATGATAATCAGCGAATGCATCCTACATGCTATATATAGCTCTGAGATGGCTGTACAGTCAGCATACATCACATGGAGTCAAACAAATCAGTCAGAAATCATGCACCGTGCTTTGAACTAGATTACTGCTGACGAGATACAAAACGTCTAAAGTTTAGGTGAACACTTACCTTTCCATCTGTTGTGACAGCAGCAAATATAGTAGAGGAGTATGGAGCCCAGGCAACATCACCAACAGGTACTTTCAGATCAAATGTGAACATTGGAGTGCTGACAAAAGACACAGATTCAGTCAGACAGGATATCTGTAACTTTCCGTTACATTGAATGTAAAACCTATGGGAATCAGAGAAAGATCAATTCCATATAGACAGATGTATCTGTCGTCTTCTTACCGACAGGTACTAACTAAAAAACTAAAATATAAATATACTTTATGCGTGTCACGCACTAACACACACGAACAAGCCCTTTCTATTCACCCGACAGTTTCATGGCGACTGTAACGCAGAGCGCCGCCCTCCTCTTTAAAGACACCCGGCCCACAAGCCAATTATAAAGACAAAATAGAATGATTGTTATAGCTTTTATAAAGTAAAGAGTTTGTAGAGTGATGCAATATCAGTTTCAGCTTTCTTACTTGATGGTATGGTCCCAGATCTTGATGGTCCAGTCCGAACTGCAAGAGATGAAGACCTTTGGGTGGAAGTGGTTCCACTTTATAGCATCCACTGCCCTGCTGTGGGCGTCATACGTCTCCAGGTACTTGCTGGAGTAGGTTTTGGAGCACTAATGGGAGTAAAAGAATAAAGAGGCTTATCTGGATGTCCGTATGACTTGACAAAGGTACTTCCAGTGAGTTATGAACCATTTACACAGGCTGAGTAGTAGTAGTAGTAAACAGAGGAAAAATAAGGACATAACTTTTAACTTGAATCTTCTCTTATTTTCTAAGGAACATTTAAGAACTTCATTGAATTATTTCTTGAGAGTGCTTTGTTTGTCTGGGAACGTGAGAAACAGCTGGTAGAAAACTCTTGCTGTGAAATCGGTGGGGGTGACAGTTTTAACCAAAGAGACTAATGTCAGCTTCTGTGCTTCAACGTTGAAATGCCCAATAAATTCCCAGTTGGTTTGCAAAAAGCAAGAAAACACCTGCAGAGCTAGCTGGACGGGTCACAATAACAGGACGACTAAAGATAAAACAGCTCCTAGCTTGTGTTGCACTTCCGAAGCACTGACAGTTTGTTTCCTACAGCAAGGTGAAAGGTTCTTAATCTGCCCTCTCCCAGGGTTTCTGTGCCACTAAAGCTTGAGGTGACAGACAACACAATTTATCACACATACCGGGTGTGTGTCCGCCCATATTCAATTCCTTTTTTTGTGTGTCCTTATAGGCAGTGTGTTTCTAATCCTCAGCCATCATAGGGAGTAGACAAATCATTCACCTGAATTGTGTTCCAAGTCACAGAGCATCCAGCGTGCAATCACAAATGCTTCAGAAGCGTCTGATTAACATGAAGTCTGACGAGTAAGAACCATTTTCTCAGTTAGAAATTCTAGAGTAATCTTTGCCTGATATGAGAAGAAACTGCCAAAGGTTTTTTTTTCAACACAGAGACACGCGTGACTAATGACAGTCACATGTTTTAACCCTTTAAATACTATTTAAGCACCATCCCATCTCTCCGTAGGTCCCTCCCCTCTTGTCTTGTATGAGCGGGACTTTGATTTGAAAATAGGAGGTGAGGAAAGCAATCAAGGAGACACGTTAGCCTTTTGAAAAGCAGGAACTACCACAGAAGCCGTTTTGACTTCCGTCCCTCCTTTCTTCTTCCCTCAAGCACTAAGTCTTATTATATAAACATCGCCGATTTCAATTATGTTTGCATTGGTCAGTGAGCTTTTTTCCCCAAAAAACAATTATTCTATGACTCATAGACTTCTATGAGGGTCTTTCTGCCAATGGTAACAAGAACACAAGGAAACTACCATCTGCCTGATGGTAAGTAACAGAATATTTCTTACTTGTTAGTGCAAGCCCAGCACAATATCTATAAGTGCACCACAAGCAAAACCAGTATCAGTTTTTCAGGGCAGATGGTCAGAGGAGTTGTTGGGCAAAAGGCCTAGTACATTTTATTACTGACACAGCCTTTACAGCCTGTTAGGCCCAGGTGAATTAGATTAGCTGACGACCCTCCCAAGCCTGCTGCTACGGTCATTAAAAACAGTCCTAGTTGGACGGGAAAACCAAGCTTCCATCGGAATGTTCACCCAACTAAAGATATTATCTCGATTCAAGGCTGGTTGTGTCCGTCCTCTTTGGTTGGTTCCTTTGTTAGTGATCATTTACATGAGTGACTCCACTGGTGGTCCTCTGGATAATTGATACAGTGCCATCCACTATCGCTGTTGGTCTGGCACTGGTTCTGTCTTGAAGGGTTTTTAATGGGAGCCAGGACAAGGTAAAACCACCACATGGTTGTAAAATACTACCAAAGAACTGCATATTGACTCTGAGACTTCAAACGGGGGAATGAGGAGGACAGCTAATTAAGAGACCTGTGCTCAATTGACTAAAACGTTATTTTGTTGAAAGTACACCATCTGCTAAAACAGCTTACGATCAACATCAACACATGGTGAATGTAGCACACAATATGGAACTGGGACACATCTGTATTAGTACCGGATTATCTCCAGAAAGTTTCAAATATCTAATGAAATCTAATTTCCATTACCTGTGTGTTTGAAAATCTAAAATAAATAATAATACATATTAGACTGAATGAAAACCATCTGGTGAGTTAAAAGTACCTCAATGAAGTGTTTTCATTGCCAAATGACAGTTGATAGTTGACCCAGACTACGGTCAACACATACCTTGTGTATTTTGCCCTCTCCTGTGCCCACAAGGAAGAGATAGTCAATCTGTTTATGGAAGTCCAACGATGTACCACAGGCCACTGTGGACAAGGGGCATTGAGTACTTAAATTAGACACGTACTGTTACAGACCGGCCGGGTGCACCAGGCTCAGGAAAATCTGACCTAATGTCGGGTGACATTTGATGTGAAGCCCTTTGAATGAGTAATATCTGTTCAGATGGTATTTCACGGCATACATTCTTACATATATTTACTAAATATGTTATACGTAATGGAGATCTTACAGATGCCACGCTGCTGTGCACTTTCTGGTCCCGCCAGAGACCGTCGGATAATGTCTGTAAAGACCAGCTCATTCTGCAAACATGCAAACACACTTTGATGCAATAATACATATATAGTAAAAGCAGGCTAATTGTAGAAACTGACACAAACAAATGAAAACGACCGTAAACCATTGCAAATGTGAGCTAAATAGGATGGAATTAGCCTGAAAAATTGTGTTAAATTATTATACTGTACTATTATTAGTGCTATTGAACATGAAAATAATAGAAGATTATCTTAGTTAAAGTGAGAATAAATAAATCAAATGGCTCAGCTAACCTTGACGAGTGCCCAGGAAACAACTCGGCCATCCGATGACACGGAACAGAAATTGTGTCTGTCGTCCATGTCATTATTCTGCCAGCAGACCTGAACCAGAACAAGACAGAATAAATCTACTGAAAAAATCTCTCACCTAACATGACATTCCCTGTCAGGATATTGTAACTCGCCATTGCTGCATGTTGCCGCATACACTTCCAACTAGCTGAACTGGGGTCTCAAAATAAACTTCCAACTAAGCGCACAACAGAAAATAATGCGAGGGTGGAGTGACTACACCTAAATACACACCCTGAACTCACACCACATCTACCTCGCCTCGTCCTCTCACCTGCCAGACTGGGTCTGTGTGCTTGCCAGTCTTTACTGTGCTCTTGTACACAGGCTCCGATCCCTCCCTCTTCAGGTTGTAGACAGCCACACAGCCATCATAGAAGCCCACCGCCGTTAGGTAGGAATGCTGCTCGTGGATGTCCAGGCACATTACCCCAGAATCTGTGGGGTAGATGCGCTCTGGAAAGGCAGAATTCTTCAACGAGTAGAATACGAGCATTCCACGCCCTTGGTAATTGAAGTCGTCTGGCCAGCAGAAGGAGACCGAGAAGAAGAGACGGAGAAATGGCTAGGTCAATAATAAAATGTGCTTCATTAAAGTTCTATCATTTAAAAAAGCTGATAGTGACAATTGAAATAGTCTCAGATATGTTAACATAACTTATCCCTTTGCTTTTACACTGCGTACTTACACGATCCCATTCCCACAGCAAATAGATCCGGATATTTCTTATTCCTGTTGAGGACAGGTGAATCAATTAGTCATTTGAGAGATTTACAACCCCTAAAACACTGATAAGGGGGGTTTACAATAAATGGCAACTCTACATATTGGGGGAGTTGCAACTATATATTCCGTGCAAGAACAAAAATGAACATCATTCTCGTCAAAGGTGAACAGGGCTCTTGAGCAGACCTACCAGCAGAGGGCTGTGACGGATAGTCCTTTTGCTTTGTCATACTGAAACTTCCACAAGGGGAGAAGAGTGCCCTCCTGCCCCCTGAACTCATCGGATCCATCCTCAAAGTATTTGAAATCTGAAATGGCATTAAGTGGAGCAGGGAGGTGAGAAGAAGAGTCTTCTCTCTGTAGCAACTCGAGTATCAAATAGGATTATAGTGTGTCAGTGTGTCACTTGAGAGATGTACTTGAGCATACCTTGTGCAATGTCATCAAAAGTATTCTGATGGACCATTCGTTCAAGGATCTTGGCCCCTTTTCTTACTTTGGTGATGTCATCGTTCTGTAACATAAACATGAGATAATGATTTGCCTATATCATAATACTGTGGCCAATGTGATGTTATTGTAAGTCCAAGTGAGTCAACAGTATAATCACATGTGACTGTGATAAGAAACTAATACTATATACATTATTATGTCAAATGAGGTAAGAAAAGTTGAGGACTCTCTTCACCGCAGTTTCTGTCAGCATGGTTTTATTCCTGCTTTTGTCAACATCTTTCCTCAAAGTTGGAGCTTTTTGCTTTTCTTTGTTTTTTTCTTGTTTCTGCAGCTCCATTACATAGGCATCATAGATCTCCCACTGCAAAGAAAATACAGTTATTACAGTCAGCCAATGTTAATAGAAATATTCACCATTGCTCAATAGTCAGAAAACACGCCTCGGCAAAACATTCAGTACCTGACTAACAGTGGCACCAAAGACGCTGCGTGGAGGAGGTTCAGTCTGGCAGCTTATTTCCTGCAGCAAAATAAAAATAACATTAAAACTCATGAAGCACTACGCTATGAAAATGTTATTACACACTCATCGTTTTATATCTTTTATACTATCTAATAATTTAAAAACTACTCTTTAAAATTTTATCCATCCTACTACTCCCTATAAGAAGTTTACTTCTTACCCTGGGTGGGTTGTTGAGAGTCTGGGAAGCCCTCTCACAGAAGTTAAACTGGTTAGTAGCTTTTTGCTCCTTCATCCCAGTTTTGGAGGCAACGCTGTCTGGTCTGTCCTCTTCTCCCACTTCATCCACTTCCCTTCCACCCTCTTCAGGTAGGGCCTGTGTTAAGCCATAAGGAGCGATCAAGTGTTTCCGCTTAAGTTACACTCTTGTTCAAAGTAAAATATTCTGTTCAACACGGACAAGTGCTGTGACATTAGATCGACACCACAGTTTTACCAGGTTTACCAGCTCCTCCTCATCAGCTTCTGCTCCAGTGTTGACTGTTGCCGGCTCTGGACACATTAGAGATGTTAAATCATGACTTTTAAGAAAGTGACACCTTGTGGCCCCTATTATGTACTGCACCAGAGAGGAAAATCAGTTTTAGTGCTAAAAAACACCATGGAACACAGCATGCACTTGTTATGAGAGAATAATATGTTAGCTTTGGATGTCTAATAAAGTGTAACTGTGACCTGTAAACACAGAATGCAGCATGTTTCTGTAGGTACCATTAGCCAGAATCTCCTTGGCCCTCAGTCTACGACCCTCATCAGAATCTATGTGCACGAGATTTCCTTCCATCTCAAAGAGAACAGCCAACTGATCCACAGCGCTGGTGACCTTGAAGGAACGTTCCTGGGATACACAATGAGCAATGACGTGAGGAATAGCGAGCAAAAAAAACTCTCAGTTTTGTTTGATTGTGGTTAGACGAGAAAATAAGAAAACATATGTTAACTATTCACTTATTTTGTATCAAGCATAAAAAGAAAAACAGGAACATTGTTTGGGAATAGCTTAGAGCACATATACAAACTCGCGGCCCGCGGGCCAAATCTGGGCCTGGGCGGCACGCCGCCGCTGATGACTTTGCTATTGTGAGAATTACAGAACGGTCCTCACGCATGCACGGTGGCTTCTGCTTCCCTTATATCAATTCGTACGGCTGTAATTGATGAATCTATAGTGAGTGTTGTAAAGTAATACAACTGGACATAGCTTTTGTTACCTTGAAGCTGTAGTGGACAATATTTTGAGGAGCATGTGGGTTGTTTGCAGTCAGGGTCCTTGTGATTTCCTCTTTCAGCTCCTAATGATACCATTATTATAAAGCAGAGCACATCATAGCACAGGTTACACTTACCTGAATAATTTTGTCACGGTGTTGATTGCAAAAGTAATAACCAAAAGATGATGATGGGAATTATTCTAGTTAGAATTAAGCAACAGCAGCTGTGTGAGCCAACAGCCCTCGACATGTCAGTCATAAACTAAAGCAATGAAGATGTCTTACAGCCTCAGTGAGCTCCAGCTGATCCGGGGGCTTGATAAGTGCTTTCCCATAAGAGACCCGTCCACCACCGGCATCCACTGCCTCCTCCTCATCCTGTAATAGTCAAAGTCAAGCTGTAATAATGAGGTGTTTCTCATTCTTCTGAATATTGCAGCCAAACGACAAAACTTAGAACTGCCATTTCTGGGATCTGGTCACAGGTTTGAGATTTGGAAGTGAAGTGCACCCACCTTTTTTTTATTTTTGTTTGACTTCGGACCAGGTGGAGCTACCTTCTGAACAGTTGAGGCCTGTGTGAAAACAAATGAAACCCAGCTATGTTGTTACATTAATACGAATATTACTTCACCCCTACGGTGACTGAACAGCAACTGTTAAGTTAGCAAAACACGTCAGGTGACGGTAACTCATTCATAACGGTCGAAGTTAGCAAACCTTAAACAAAAATGGCATTTAAATTACCTTTCTCATTGTTGCTCCAACTATATGCTTTGAGAACCCTTGAACAAATTGTCCGTTTTAATGTCTTAACCACAATTTAGTTTAGATATATTGCCTCGTCAACCTTAAATAGTCAACGCTAGCTGAAAGTAGCAGGAGAGCGGCTCTTCTGAAGCCTCTCGCTGCTGTGTTTAGGTTACCAAGACAACCAGTAGTCTCGGCCAGTCGTCGGGGTCCAAAGATATGTTCTAGTTTAAAACATTACAATTATTCAATTTAAGGTAATGCGAATTGAAATATTATATAAATACAGATTAAAAAAAATGTTTAATTCGTAAAACATTTCAATTCGACGTCAATGCACTAAAAGACTTCCCTACGCATTTAATTATGATCTCCTCTGTGATTGGTCGGACTGCTCATGAATATTCCATAGACCCGGAAGTTGGGCGGTACTGCTGTTTTGCTGTCGAGTCACCTCTGTCAGGATGGAGGCAAACGAACTGTTATCATGCTGAAAAACGAAGGATCCTGACAACCGAGCATCGTCTACCCGGATAGTTAGAAATAAACCAGCGTCAATCTTCTCCACTATTGTACCTTTTCTATAAACGCTTTGTTAAAATGATGGAAGAAATCGACCGGTTCCAAGTACCCCCAGTCAACGGAGAGACGCAGCCTTTGGTAAGAGACGAATGACGAGAAAACGCATTCTATGCAAATAATCCCATTGAATACAAACGGAAACATTTTAGTCTCTTGTGGGTTTATCTAGGCGGCAGTCATAATCTGCGTGTGTGAGCTAACAGATAGCAATTTGCAGCTCGTCACAAACTGAGCCTACGGGATGGGTGTAGATTGATTCCCTAAAGATGAAAGGATAGCTGCTAACGTTCATATCTCTTTCTCCATAGTGATAGCATTAATAAAACATTTAATGATTTAATAGAATTCACCGTATTGTATCACAGTACTTAAACCACGCCATTTGACTAAAATCATGTTGTTGTTGTTGTCTTTTTTCTTAAATCCACGTCAGCATGCGCTTATATTTGCATCCAAAGGCGTCATAGAATACTGTTTTTTACATTTGGTATTTTTGGTGACGTGTTATTTGGGTCGGGATGGATGTAGGTGCTGTGAGCCCAAAAGATCGCGTGAACAGGAGCTCCGTCCACATCGATACTGCAGACTGCAACCCTCAGGATGGCTAGCCCAAGCAGGCCCATAGTAAGAGAATAGCCTCTCCTTCCATGATTCATTATTGGACACAGACCTGCCAGGAACAGTAGACACACTTCCAAGTCATGGTGTTCTGTGGGCAATTCTCAAACTGTATACGACACAAGGATGTATTTCTCTAGGTTTGAATGCAATTATAATACAGGCCCAATTCGCATTGTGGAGAAGATCTGAAATGACAATTCATTAATCGTATTTCCTACATTGCCATACTTCAAAACAAAGCAGTCTAAAACAGATGCCACCATTTTTTTTAAGTGTTTGCCTTCGGGTTTTAGGCAAAGGCAGCGCTCCAAGTTTTAATGTTCATTATAGTACCCATGCTTCTCCATTCGTTCTTCCCCTGAGGCTAAATTCCAGCAGAAATCACAGAAGAACACACTTTCTCTGGTACAGAAAGTCTCCTTTTTATGCAGAAGCTACTGTCTCTCCTTATGAAGATTTAATCAGTCTACTCTTAATGTTTCGTCCAAGGAAATACTATGGAATTCCATCTAATATCAGAGATACTCTGATTGTGGCTGCAGCGTGTTGGTTGCAAATCGTATTGTTTATTTGTTATCATGTAATTACTTATCATCACGCCATGGCCTCCTAAATGTTAGCTGCTATTTTGCAGTTCCAGCCTCTGTAACAGTCCCCCACTTTCCATTCAAAAACCGTGCCTAGTTGTTTCGGAATCACAGTTGCTTTTTAAATGCTAATAACTTAATTGTGATTGATATAATGCATGAATACAGCTGGCACCTGCCTCCTTGTTGAGAATTAATTTCACATGAATGCTGCAGCTTTTTATAGACAAATAGAAGTGTTGGCTGGATGTTTGTGGTGAATGATCCCATACAGCTGCTCTTTAGATCCCTCAGGTGGGCTGTGTTTTTCCCAGTTTGTAAAGGGCTCGTTGTGTTGCTGGAAAAGGGTAAAATATGAAATGTAAACTCCCATGGAAATTGTTCCATGGCAATATGCCTTCATAAGACACTGCTAAGAATGACCCCGATGAAGATCCATGTCACCACAGTGGTCGTTTAAAAAGCATATTCCAATGTAACGTAAAAGCACTTTGAGACGTTATTCCCCTTATGAAATAATTTTCTTATGATGGAGGAAGCGTCTCTTTATAGAATTTTGAGGGATTTAAATCCCTGACGTATTGTATATTAGCATAGATGTTTCACTTTGGATTGTGAATGTTAACACTAAATTTTAATTTACATTTTTTTTATAATAGAAAATGATCTCCACTAACACCTCCTTTTTCACAAAGGATTTGAGAATAATTAATGTTGGCTAAATCTAATTATGACAGATGCAGCCCAGTCATGACATTGTCATAAGGATAACATGTAACTGTCTTAGTGGTCACCTGACGTATCAGTCGACTGCTATTGGCCAGTGATGTGTAATCCTACCAGTCGCTTGGTGTCTCTGCTGCGTCAGCAACCATGAGGCTCTACATCATCAGAGGCAGTAAAGGAGGCGGACGACAGGTTTATGAAGCCGATGCTCTTAAGAGGGCATCTTTTTTCATGTGTGTGTGTGTGTGTACACATGTTCTCTAAGTGTGTGTGACCCTGAGTGAGTGTCGGTGTATTGGAATGCATGTTCAAGGTCAGGGCCAGCAGTTTGATTTTTACATGCATCAAAATCAATGTCTCGCCCCTTATGTCATAGGTCAGGTTGCAATCATTTGATAGTTACTGGCAGGGAACTATAGGCTCCAGCAGTATGTTTTAAATGGCCTATCTGGCTTTGATTTGTTGTCAATGACTGCTGAGCAAGGTGGTGCACATACAGATTTCTTTCTGTTTATAGGATTTAGGTCCGAGAACCTCTGGTAGCATTTCTTTAGGACAAACTTCAGAGTGATCTAGTGTAATCTGGTCTATTTGTAAGTCTAATCTGTTTATTACGGGCTACCCCGCTAGTTGCTATGAATAATTTAGTTGTCTTATATTCAAAAAGTGGCAGGGAATTCTGTCACATTTCTCTTAATACCAAATCCCTTCCATTATTAACTGCCAGCTCTGCTGGCATATTTCAAAGGGGATTTACTTGACAGACAATATGACCCTACCTCATCACAGTATCTGTCTGCGGTGGAAGGGAAGTGGGGAAAACAAGACTGAAAGCAAAATAAATCCTGTGGGTAAGCCTTAATGATCCAAGGGAAGGGCCTGTCAGCGAACAGAAAGGGCTCGTGTTAGTGCTTGTTACGGTGCGAATGCCTGGTCCATGCGCCGTGCTTCCACTGCTCCTGCCAGGCACTGTTGCGGCTCTCATTAATTATTCCAGTTAAATGGACGATACTCCATTGCCGGATGAGGATGAGACTATCGAATGCATCAACGGTGCATTAGGCACTAGTTCTTGTAGACGAGTGGAGAAGTGGAAAGAGGTGATCGCTTTTAGAGGTGCATTGGTCTGGATGGCTGCTGGGAAATATATCAAAGATACAATATAAACCTTTTTTATCCGATGATCACTTGTATATAAGCGTTATACATTTTGTTGTTTTACCAGATTTTTTATCTCCTTGGCAGCTTGTTTTTAAGTGCGTTACGAGAGAATTGATATTCTCGCTGTCTCCGCTAATACTCATGAATGTTTTATCAGGCCCTGCGAGATTGGATAAGCTCTATTGGTTTCACGGAATTGGTCTAAATTCTTATAGTATTTTATAGTGACAGCATGAAAGGGTTTTTGATGAAATAGATTGAGGCATATTTGTGTTTTTTATTTTGAAATCCCACCAATCCCCCTGCAATCTTAAAAGACTCTTTAGTTTTTGATGAATTTGATGAGTATTTTTTTAATACAAGTATTACTTGTTATGTTTCTTTAAGCTACCCAACATTTTACTTTCATTTATTACCAGATATATTACACAGCAGTGGTGTCAGCCGATATGAGTTTTTCAGCTCCGGTTGTTTATTTGCTTAAAGGATGCTTTAAATGTAGCAGCCATTTTTCTGGAGAGACCACAGAGTTATTGAAAGCCAAATGGCCCGCTAGTCCTTGCGGAGACCCTCAGAGGGCTACAAGGGGAGGACTGTAGGGCCGACATAATGCGGCGCTCTGTCAGCACATCGGGCCCAGCTCCCCTCTCTCGATCGGGGGAAACCGTGGCTCCAACAGCAACCCCCTCTGTTCTCTCCCCGGCCTCCTCCCCACGCCATCACTGCTCACGCATAAAAGAGACAGAGCCGAGCACACAGCCAGAACACTCGAGCCCATTGATGCAGAAAAGCAGGCAGCCATAGTAGCGCATAGGCCTCGGGGAATATTGCCAGGGTACTGGACACAAGCAGGTCCTGAAAAAAGAGCTGATTTTCCTGTGGCTGTGTGGGCCGGGCGATAAATCAGGCGGTTTGCTCTTGGTACTGACTTGATTGTGCCCTCAGGCCTTTTGTTGAATTTCAGCTTCCCAAATGGGTTTGAAATTGCCCCGAAAACAACTCTGATCCAAGTTGAATCCCTGTCGGCCGCTGCAATAGCAAACAATTTAGTCTATGATGAGATGATAGCAGTAAGTTATTTCTTATTGTTGTAATTTAGTCCTATCAAAGGTGACGTGCTGCGTACTGTTTCCAGGACCCCGCAGCATCCTCCAGCTCGGAGGCTGACGCTGACGCCAAGGGAGAGACCGTGGCCATGAACTACAAGCCCTCACCACTGCAAGTCCAAATAGGTATCACCGGAAACACGTTGCAAATCATTTGTGTTAAGGCATCAGAAAGGGTCAAACTAGGCACAAACCTTCTGTTCAGCGGTAGTTCTAATCCAGTACTGCACGGTATTCACAGAGAGGACTATACGTTGGTAAAATTACAGTCCTCTAACATTGCAGTTTACTTGTTGAAGGTGCTTCAAAACTCTGTCACACTCCAAAACACACTGAAAACATCGGAGTCAATATCTACACAATATTCAGTTCAATTTTCCACTGACCTACAGGGACTGTGCTGCTTGTGTATACCTCTTTTTACCTTTTTAAAAAAAATGGATTTCTGAGACAAACAAATTCCTATAAATGGGTATGAGATGGTCTTGAAGTTGAGGTTTATCGATGCATTCACCGATGACCTCCCACCCTGTGGTTGCCCAGAGAAACAGAGGGACCATGCCAGGAAGGGATCAGTGAAGAATGGCACCGTGGGAAGTCCTGTCAATCAACAACCCAAGAAGAATGCTAGGACAAGGTAACCGCTCCCATTGCCTGCTTGTTTCCTGTTATGTGGACCAACTCGAACACAAACGTTACACTTTGCATCAATTAGCATCTCAAGCGTCTTTTTTAGGTTTGCGTCGCCCGCCGAGCCTGCTAATGAAGGCGTTATTTGCTGCCAGCCTCCAGGGGAACCCGTTAGACTTCCTAACTTCCGAAAGCAGCTTTTTAGAGAATTGGGTGTTTTCCTGCTGGGATTGAAAGAGTCAAGAGATGCAAAAGTGTAACCAAAAACATTGACAATTGGCTCATCTGTCTAATCCCACTCGCTTGTGGATTAGTGGAAATATGAGAAAGGCCCCGAGTCCCACAGGTAGATAATCCAGAAAGGCCTGCAGCCTGCAGGCTACAGATTGGTCCCAATTTATTTTTCTATGCCTGTAAGAAGAGCGACCATGATCCTGTTCTCGTTCCACTTAATATGAAATGTTTGGAATGGTGCTTTCGTGTTGCGTTTTCAAGTCTTCTGTCTTCTCCCGTGTTGTGTCTCGCTGTCTGCGCCCACCTTCAGGTTGGTGGTTCCAAACAAAGGCTACTCGTCTTTGGACCAGAGCCCAGATGAGAAGCCCCTGGTGGCACTGGACACTGACAGGTATGTATATGACATTGTGCATTTTATGACACATTCTCTTTATGACCATACTCTTCCGACCCGAAGGGATAGAACAGGAGAAATTTGTCACTGCTGGATTGCACTAATCCATAGAGCAACTTGACTGAGTTCTCAACAGAGGGGGATCATAAAAAGGGGACAAAGCCTCTTCCAGGGTGCGGGATTAGAGGATAGCTGGGCGGGGATTTGGGCAGGGACAAGCGGCTCAGAGGGGGGCGCCCGCTCCCCCCCCCCCCCAGTACCAGTAGGTCTGCATTCGACACGTACGAGTGTCACCCTTTGTGCGCTCCGCCTGCTGCGACACGAGGGGAAACTCTACGGTGAACTCTGGAAGCCAGTCAAGCTTACATCATGTATTGCTTCATGCACGCCCTCTGGAAAGCTTTCTGACTCATCACAGGACACCAGTTTGTTTATTTTCGCGTGCCGAGCCTTTGGAACAATGTCGCCCTGTTTTCTTGTTTGCAGATCATTCGTTCATTCGGGGGGAAAAAGCCTGTTGGGTGCATTAGACCAATCTTATTACTTGTTAGATGATATTTCATTTGCAATGTGTCCTGTATTTTGCCAATCATATAACCTTGATGATGTAGACTAAAATAACCCCAATAAACAATAGAATGTGGGCATTTAGCAGGCAGGGATACTGAATAGCTAGTGGTTAGCTAGCAGTTAACTGTTGACATTCATATGATGTCTCCAAACGTCTGTCTAAGCAGTGATGTCTCTTGTCTTTCAGTGATGATGACTTTGACATGTCCAGATACTCCTCATCAGGATACTCCTCAGCCGAGGTGAGATGTCTGAGGGACCAGGTATCTATACACGCATTATACTGTTTCACAGCGTCATTTGGTGAATCCACAAACATCGCCACCCGATCACCCAGTTCCATTGTCACACCACTCACACCAGGTACATGTGCACCCGTCTGAAACAAAACGTTTTGCCGGCTCCTCCGAGGATTCATGGTCACAGTCATCTGTAGTGCTTTTTCCATAGTTCTCATTCAAACCCCTTTTCATTAGAGTAGAATCCTTTTTTGTTGTACTTCTTGCTCTTCCCGTTGCCACCTATAAACTGCCTGCACAATGATGTCGCTGCCCTCTGTTTCTGTAAAAGTGATTTCCAGTGAGATTTGTGGCATCCACGTAGGAACTGATTTTACTAACGAGGTGGTTCCCAGCTGAAGGGTTTGTCAAAGTTGTCCCGACGCCCGGCTCACTCTGTGTCTCCTCCCCCCTCTGCAGCAGATCAACCAGGACCTGAACATCCAGCTCCTGAAGGACGGGTACCGGCTCGACGAGATCCCCGATGACGAGGACCTGGATCTGATCCCCCCAAAAGCCGTCAACCCCACCTGCATGTGCTGTCAAGCTGCTCCCTCCACAGCTTGTCAAATCCAATAGCGCCCCCCCCCCCCCTCAACCCCCATCCCCTTCCCGCCTGCCACCTGCACTGAGGCTCAACTGGCAGTGGCACTAAGGGAAAACAACGGTCAGAAATGATAAGTTAGGAGATGGAGAAAGGTGAAGTCGTGGGAGATGTACAGTACCCGTGCACGCTCCTCCTATGGTAGGACCTGTGCATCTTACTTCTGCGCTGTTGCTTCGGCGAGGACTCGACTGATCGCAGAAACATTGCCCCTGAGGGAAACGTGTCTTCGTTACATCTCATGCTTGTGGATATTTTGGTTTACGGGGACCCTGAGGGAAGAACAGCGCGTCAGTTGGAGGATCCAAAATGGTGATGAGGTGACATTACCGTGACAGCGCATCATCAATGGAGTCCACTTCTGCTACTGGTGTGTCATTGAAAGTGTCAAAACGAAAGACAGGAGGAGATTGGAAGCGTTGTTGTGGCCATTGTTTTTTCTTTGTCTTTCTCATTTCTCTTTCAGCCAGTCTGCTTTGTCTTCCTGTGTGTAAATACGTGTCAGCCATGAAAATGACATGAGTGTGTCTTATTTCGTCCTAGGGAGTAGTGCTTAAACCATCAAGCTGCTGGTGAAACACTAATGCTCACATTTATGACACAATGGGAGTAATCCCAGATTTTAGTTTGTCTGTTCCACAACAGTTGTTCAGTTTAAAACTAAAAAAACAAAACAGTTTTGCATGTTGCCTGTGAACACGGCGTCCTACTAACCGGCTCGTGCAGATGATTTATCAGTCTTTGTCAACTTCTCAACGCACCCTCGTGCTGAAGAGACAATATGCGCGGCGTGCTTTTGAAAAAACATGGACCCACTAGTATTTCGGTCCATCCACAAGCGGCTCACGAGTTACTGCTTACTTCCTTTTGAGGAGTGGGTGTGTAAGAGGAACACAGCGGCCGTCACCACCGGGGAATGTGGTTACAAAAAAATAAAAATAACAATAGTTAGAGGGTTAGAAAATGAGCAAATACATAGAAGCTTTGGCTGTACCTGTGTTATGGTTTCTCAAGAATGTCCTTAAAGTAGTTCCACATCACTCGGATGGAAATAAAAAAGATTTTTTTTTTTTGTACATCTGTGCATATTCCCCCTTCACTTATATTATGAGCTGTTTGATTTGGGGACCGTGTATGTAGCACCGGACACAGCTGTGTATTGTCGATGCTTTATGCCAATGGATGTTTTCCACTGATGTTGAGTAGGAAGTTATTTGTAATGTTTACATCACACCACGTTAGATCTACAGATGATAAAAGTCACTTGCATGAGAATCTGTTTTAAAACAAATGACACAGAACAATAGACCCCAAAAAACACAAAATGCACATGTTACACCTAAAAATATATTTTCTAATAATAATAACTAAAACATAGATAGACATGAATCTTTTAGAGCTCTGTTTGTTTAGTGTGTGTGTGGAGAATTCCAGATCTGAAAGCAGAGGAAAAAAAGGAAGCATTTTTCAATTAATTTCAGTTTGTGAATCGAGAGTAAAGAAGCTACTTGGAAAGGGAAACAAGAAAGACTCATTCAATCTATTTACCTGTAAGAGGGCCTCTCCTTCCTGTCACCACCTGGTTAAACTGCCCCAACGCTTCCACAGCATTTGAGTTACAAAAGAAAACAAGCATTAAAACAAGTTCCAGGTGCCATGTGTGTAGATGATAAAATGACTTTATTAAGTAGAAAAATACCAGAATAGAAGAGTAGGTCAAGTATTATGTCACTTATGCAGCTACTAGCTGAGGTGTGTGTTTGACCAGTGGTTGTTTGCACTTCACATTAACATGTAGGGACTGACTGTAAATGACTATGGTGCTGATATTTTCTGTCTCTCATTAACGTCATCCATATAGACTCACACACGGGCCGTGGCGGGCGTGCGTGTGTGTGTGCGAGCGCCATTGTCGTCTCACTTGGGTTGTAGCTTCACTAATCTATTGATTTCACAGTGTCAATCGATGCGTTGTAACAAAAGCTATTTATTTGAAGTTATGTGACTTTTAAGTTATTTTTTAAGATGGGATATATTCATGTGCAGACATTTTTTTTATTTAATTTTTTGTCACGTGTTATGATGATTGTGAACTGGTTCCATTTAGATTTTAACAGTGTCAAAGTTCTGTGTATAGTGCAACATATCGAAAAATAAATATTGGATATCTGAAGTGTGATTATGCTATGCGTTTCTGTCATCTTTTTAATCGAATACGTGTAGTCATTAGTGTTTTTTTTTTAAATATTTCCCTGATCGACCAAAGGGGGGGGGTCAGATCTTTGTGCAGCCACAGTCAGCTCTGCAGACCTCCGGCCCAACCAGCTCCTCAGAATGCTCCACACGGATTGTCCCTGCATGACGTGCAACAAACCGCCACTGTATGAATTAAAGGCCTCTGCTGGGGATGTGTGTTTACCTAGTGGAGTGACTGAAGGCCAACATTTTAAGCCAGGAAGGAGAGAATGGGGAGAAGGGAGGGATAGATAGCGAGATGGAAGAGTAGTGGCTGTGGGGGGTTGGGTATTTGTGATTAGCCTGGAGTTGATCCCTAAGGAGCAGATGGTGGATGGTGGCTTACCTACAGAAGGCGACTTGAATCCCAGGATCTAGTTTGTGTCCACGCCGAAAGGAGTAGCACTGTTGTTGAGAAGGACCCAGAACAAAGGCTCATGAGACGGGACCGCCGGGAGACAGGTGAAGGACATTCCCCAAAAATAATGGTTGAACATAATTGACTTGATGTATAATGGTAGAATATATTGTCGTGGCAGTGGGTCCATGTACTGTACGGCATTGGATGAAGCCTACTGTAACATCAGCTCTCCCTCGTAGAGACCGCATAACGAGACGCAGTCGGGACGTGGCGCCATGTTGCCTAGAGACCTGGGCGTAGCTGGCGAGGTGCTGCTGCTGCTATTGCTGATCTGTGTCCGGCGCCTGCAGGGCTCCGCTCTGCCTGCTCTTTCCTCCTACGAGTTCACAGCCTACAGGATGCAACAGTTCAACCTGGCACAGAGGACGCATGGTGAGTTCAAAGCGCTGCGCCTCAACTCTAGAGTGATTGTGTCCTGTACGTTTACTCAAGCTCTGCACATGTAAATTCTACTCCGTTACATTTCAGAGGGAACTATCATAGTTTTTATTCTGCTTCTTCTATCTGATAGCTGTAGTTACCAGTTACCAGTAAACCTTTTTAGCTTGTGACCTCTTATAATAAATCTAATAAAGTCTACTTGTTTCAGATCAATCTGTTGTTGAAGAGAGATTTTCCATCTGGACTCATTACATTTTAACTGTTGGAGGCCCAAAGTGATCAAATCGTCCAATATTTCCCACAAAAGTGAAGATTAGAAGTTTGTCTGAAAAAAACACCTATGAATAGACGTTGTTCTGTCCTCCGGCCCCATCGACCTCCTCACAGAATAAAGGTCCTTACATATGGCTTGATTCAGAGAGTACATTATTATATATACTGGATGTGACTTATTGTGTTGGGAAATCCATATTGATACACTAATGCTTTTTTCCAGGAATCTATAGCGGCCCGACCAAATCAGCCAAATCCAAATTCAAAATTGCCGACTAACTGAGATCAGATACAAAGCACCAGCACAGAACTTGAGTAGAGTGGCTTTGGTTAATATTGTCGCCTGTCTTGTGAGGTTGCCGTGGGGCCATCGTGGTGGCGGAGGCGCGCTCGGCAGACGAACCGGTGCTGACGCGCCGCTGCGTCGTCATGAAGGTGCCGGACTTCACCACAGAAAATTACCTCGAGGCCCAGAGGCAAAGTGCTGCTGCCGTCCTGATCCTGCTGCCCAAAAACATCTCCGCTCTCCCCCATGACGCTGTACAGGTAACGAGAAAAAAAGACCTGCAGCTTCTTGTACCGATACAGTTTCTGAATATCATGCATTGTACCTTACAGAAGTTGTATGATCACTGCTTCCTCTTCCCCCTCGCAGTCCTTCATGGTGAGTGAGAGCGAGGCCTTGCTGAAGGAGACCCTCATGCCGGTGTATGTGGTGCCTGAGGACGAGCAGCTGCTTTATATGTACGAGGAGGTCAAGCAAGCCGCAGCCGCCAGGACTTCATCTGTATTCGTCAGAGGTAAGACGAGCAACAGGATGTTATATTTTTTTTATTTCTGGGAGATGAAAAACAACACGGCAAGCCCGTACTGATGGTTTTATATCCTATATATATATATATTTTTCCCCGCAGTGCTTCGAAGTATGGTTACAGCCACGGCCTTCCAGATCTTAGTGAGCAACAATGTCCCCATTAAGGGCACCACTGACAACATCATCACCACACTGGAGGTGACCATGGAACCGACGACTGACCACCTCTTGCTGCATGACTTGACGGGATTAGTTTGGTCCGCTGTCCTCGGCTCTGCACCGTTTAACTCCTCACGTTTCGTTCAAGGGAGTGCTGCCCGGCACGGGGGAGGATGCCCCCACCGTCGTCGTCACTGCCCACTATGATTCCTACGGGCTGGCACCAGTGAGTCACATGTTGGAACACACTTTTCTGCACTCGTGGTAATACTATGTTAGTTTGATGGAGCTTTTTGTTTGTAACACAGTGGTTGTCGTACGGAGCGGACTCTAATGGCAGTGGCGTCACCATCCTACTAGAGTTGGTGCGTCTCTTCCAGAAGCTTTATAGCAGCCCCGGCACCAGACCACCGTGAGTTACAACCCCCCCCAAACCCCCTCCCAGAGATACCTCCTAATTTGACATTAGCTAGCATATGCTGCGCCCTCTATACAGTATGTGTCCAAAGCTCCATCTGGTTTGGTAGATGTTGTTGCTAGTAGTCATCTGAAAAAATGGCTCCTTTCACGTGAAGACAGACAACACGACATTAAATGCTTGATTGCTCTTTTTAAGATATCATTTAATGTTCTCCTTAACTGGAGGAGGAAAGTATAATTTCCTGGGCACAAAGAGATGGATTGAAGATAATCTGGACCATGCCGGTGAGTTTTCTGGGACTTTTTGAAAGTATCTTGCAGTACCACCATAGATAAAAAAAGTAATAACCTTTTTTTTTTCCTTCCCCAGAGTCCAGTCTGCTGCATGACAATGTGGCATTTGTTCTGTGTTTGGATACGCTGGGAAACAGTGATGAACTGTACATGCACGTGTCCCGCCCTCCCAAAGCCGACACTCCCATGCACTCTTTCATCCAACAGCTGGAAGAGGTAACACGCCTTCATGATAGGTCCAAAATATGGAGTAGGCTTTTCTCTGTGTTCATGGTTTTAAATGTGTGATCACTCCGCTAGGTGGTGTCCTCCAGATTTCCCTGGGTGAAGGTGGGATTGGTCCACAAGAAGATCAATCTCGTGGAGTCCACATTAGCGTGGGAGCATGAACGCTATAGCCTGCGCAGGATACCAAGTTTTACTCTGTCTCATCTGGAAGACCCCAAATCTGAGTTACGCGGCTCCATGCTTGACACCATGTGGGTTCTTTATTCTTTTTTGGATCATTGTGACGTATGACCAATGAGATTCTGTGAAAAGACTCTGCAAAGAGACACATCAAAGATGTCTTTGTGTCTTCTCTCAGGTCACAAGTGGACTCCAGGAAGATGAAGCGAAATGGCATCATCATAGCAGAAGCACTGGCACGTTATATGTACAATTTCTCTGACAAGGTGATTGAAATTCCTACAAATAATTGAATGCATCTATCTTATTTACATATACTGTGGCTTAATATTCCATCATCATTTTATTGTGTGATTAATCTTGATTATATTCTTCAAGGATTCACCAAAAGATATGCAAGTTTTCAAGGGTCAATTGGTAAGTTGGCTTCTTTATTTTGCTCAGTAAAAAGAAATGCAAGCGCTGACCTCTTGTGGTTTAAAGATGGGAGCGTTTTTGTATGAAACCATTTATTTACACTGCAAAAGCTTTGAGGCACCTATTATATGGATCTTCTTTCAATAGTAACTATTTAAACAGAGGAAAAAAATCTTATTCACAAACTAAATGTATTATTTACATTTAAAAATAGTGTGTCTAGTCTACATTTTGAATGTATTTCTCAGTCCAGAAAGGCATTATTGAACCTGGATTTTGATTAATGGTACTTAATATCATTTTGTAGTCTACTTGATGATTGTAATGAGGAGAATTAAAGAAGTAAACTGTGTGTCCAGATGATGTTCTTTGACACGGGTCCAATAATGCTAACCAGCCTTCTATTTCTATTGATGTGTGTTGAAAGTAGCCTTGATAAAGCAACACACCTTTTGATATTTCAGCCCAGAATTGGCTTCATTGTTGTACACTTGGCATTATTTCAATCTGCAAACATGTTGAATCTAAGTTTACGTTTTGATTCACTGATGACGGATTTCTACTATTTTTATTCCACAGTTGTTCAGAGCTCTCAGCCATCAGTTTGTGATTGTCCGCCATCAAACTTTTGTCGGGGACAATCACTTTTTTTGTTCATTGTGTATATTTTGCAGTTTAAGAAATGAGTTTGTTCATGCTTGACATGGAATACTTTTATTTTTATATGATGGCACAGCCTTTTTCTTCGTTCTGTGAATACACATCTAAACTCTTGATGCAGGAGTTTCACGACAGTCGCATGGCCAGTGTGATGTCATTCCTCACGTCGGTGCCTCGAGCTGCCCAGCTGCTGGATAAGGAACCCGGCCACATACTGCTGGTCAACTCACTGGAGCACGAGTTCAAACATTACCTGCAGCAAGTCCACAGACACGCCTACCGACAGGATAGGAGGTAAGATGTGGGAACAATATATACTGTGAAATGTTGTCTCGATGCTAAAGATTCCCCCCGTTATTAACTGTATTTCTTCATACAGGGACCCTGATATCACCTTTTTTGATCAGATGAACCAACCTATAGTGATGTACAGGTAAATATCTAAACTCACATGCATTTTGCTCATCTCAAAAAGCCACTACGTCAGTGACAATTTTTTTCTTCCAGAGTGAAACCTGCGGCCTTCGATCTCTTCCTCGGAGGCTGCATTGCCGCCTATTTAGGGATTGTTTACTATACCATCCAGGTTTGTTAATACATCCTTTTTCACTGTCCATTCATACTGTTAAAGTGTATTGCGTAGCACCGTAGATGATGTTAACACTTGATGTAACAAGTTTGGTTTTCTCACACACCCTCTCTGTTCTCTCTTACAGAATTTTAGTTATCTCTACGCAAAACTCAAAGCGGCAGTGAAATCCAAGCGCGAGTAAATAAAACTGAATACTGAGTCGATGTGAAGGGCTTTGAAGTCTGCATTGCACACGTTGGACCCCTGCTCGACTGGCTGTGCAGAAGTTGAAAGCATTGCAGCACGAATCCTCTAAGACCATGAGCACAATTTACAACTTGTGCATTACCTTTGAAATGTATATTGTTTTCATAAATACACTGTATTGTAGACCATTTCTCAGACTGAAATCTGTTGTGTGGGGGAGACAGATAAACCAAAAGAATGGGATATACCTATAGACTCAAAGTATACCGAAAAAGGGAAGAGAATCCGGAGGTGGGATTTGATTTGAGCACCCGGTGAAGCATCATTGCTATGATTCCCCATGCCCCTTGCTCTGCATCTGTTGACATGGATTTGACTGAGCTTAACGTGGCTGTCGAACAAGGCCCAGCCACTGCGGCGAGACGAACAGCCAGTTCCTGTCACAGATAACTCAGTGAGAGGAGCGGGGAAACAAAGGCACCCTGCAGCGCTTGGTGAATTATTGATGGCCATGTGGCGTGCTGACAGTGCATAGAGGTGACCCTGGGTGGGGGGTTGGCAGAATCTTAGAAATCCCATCCCTCCTCTGATCTGGCAGTTCTATAGATCGGATACGAATGGCCCTCTTTTAACTGTGAGGCGGCTAAACAGCTGGGAGCTGAGTGTTTGAGATCAGTGCTGGCTAGTCTGTGTGGGCCGCTGGGAGGGAAGTAGGTCATGGACAGTGACCCGAGGTATGTGTGTCTCTGCAGGGGGCCTTGGGCTTTAGGAGGATTGGTGGCCAAGTGCTCAGGTAGCACAAAGCGTTGTTCTGGTTTCGGCATTATGCTTGTAACCTTTCTCTGCTCCCTACATATAGATCCATCACAATAGCCACAAGTTAAGCATAGTTTACACCGTGTATTTGTTTGTTGCTGGAGATCCCATGAGATACTGAGCTTTATAGCTGATGCATGCACAAGTTTGATGCTGCGATCCATCAAACAGAAAAAGATTTCTATACAACAAAACAGGTTGCATGCACAACCAAGCAACAATTTTCAGATGATAAAATAGAACGCACACATTTTTTTTTCTTTTTTTGGTGCGAGTAAAAATACAACAGACATTATGAGGAAAAGGGAGGAGCCACCAGGGGACAGGGGGGGGGGAGCCATGTTTGTGACTGGAAGCGAAGCAGTAAGGTAAGAGAATAAGTGAAGATGGGTCCCCAGCTCTACCTCACCATGTACAAAGAGCAGTTTGTCCCTCCTGGCACAGCGAACAGAGAACAGCCTCGACCCACCTCTGCCCACCGCAGGAACAACCCACAGCCCCGTCCGGTAAGAGGCCCAGGCACATGGAACTTCTGCTTTTAAAGGGACAATGGCACTATTTATGAATACCTGTGTGATTTCTTGAGAAAATGAGAAAATCAACTTAATCAACACCTTCTTTCGTTGCTTTTCAGAAAATAATGTTACTAAATTAAACACATTTCCGAGTGATGCATGTGAGGTCAAATAAGGCTAATTGGAACACTTATTATTGGCAGTCTCTTTATTGCTCTTCATTTAGCAAGACTAAGGAGTCTTACACTAATTAGCGACTGGTTGTTTACATTTCCCTGTGCTTGGTGAAAGCTGCATAACATCTATTATTCAGTACTTCCTTCGTGCCTACTTATTTATCCTGGCATGCAGTAAACAGAGCTAAAAACAGAGAGTGCAGTTACCCAACTGTAAAGACGTTTTTTTTAAATAACCTACACTACATTTGTTGGGGTAATTTAATGAAGAGGAAAGCTATTTAGGAAAAACTACCAAATGGCATTTTAATACCCTTTTTGCATTCCATTTACCAAGAAAAGGTCGAAAATCTTATTAATTCTCTATTCTCAGTGAAGGTTTATTCAATGAGAATAAACAAATAAATAAAAGTACATATCAAAACGATATTGAATGTGGGTTTCTATGTATGCTACGTGTTGACTCTAATGTTCCAGGTTGCCCTTATCTTCCACTCACACATTTACTGTGTTTTCCAGGACTTTCTGTTTCCCCGGAATCTTCAGCGTAACCTCAGGTCACGCCGCACACATCCACACCCCTCCCCCCCTGTGGACGGTGGCCAAGGTCCACTCTTTCCACCTGTCAGACATGTGTCATTCCACAGTCCCCTTCCGACTTGTCCAGACCACAGTCCACTGACCGCAGTGGACCAACCAAACCACATGCCCCCTGCCCGCCCGTCCACAGTACTGCCTCTGCCCCCTGCTGGCGGACTGCACAACCTACAGCTGGCTGAGGCTCCTTCCGACACCGGATTTAAACTCCAAGCAACTTTGAGGAGCCCAACTCGGTAGCCGTAGACCAGTTTAACCGTTGCTCCAAAGTGGCTGTAAATTCACATTGATTGTAATTGATTGCATTGTTTTTTTATCAGTGGAATGAGTTATCAGAGGAATGTTCATCCACTCTCAGCCCAGCAACAGAGGTGAGAGAATGACCTCTGACCTCTTTTTAGCAGCTTTTAAACCCAGATAACCAGAAAAACGACATACATTGGTGAGCAATATTGTGCAATACTTGACAGATTGTACTAAATATACTTCTGTTTTTATACAGGCAACACGGAGGAGCTCAGCTTCGGACAAGACCGCAAACCATCAACCTACAACACCACTTCCCACGGACACAATACCGGAGGTCTAGTTATAGTTGCAGCCAGGATTATAGGGGCAAATTCTTATTTTTAAATGTAATTATAAATAGGTCGTAAATAAAGACCAAGTGGGTCTAATTTCCCCGTGTGTGATGGTCTCTCAACAGCGGAGGCTACAGCTGCTTCCATGTGGTGAAGCCCTCCGAAGCTGGGCACTACATCATACACCCAGAGTTTGTGTCTGAATGCCGTCCTTAGGACCATTAGAGCCCTGGCCTCCAACGTGGGGACCTGGGACCTGCAGAGCTCCTTGAGGACATCATCAACTTCACTATTGTTTAATTCTCCACTAATTAACCCAGCGAGACAAGGTGTAAGGATGAATAATGCAACGGTAGGCTGTACTCTCGCCCCTATTATCTCCCTACACACAGCGTGACCACTTTTACAATTCAGTACTAAATCAGCAGCAAAGATCTTCCCCATAAGGGGCTTGTGGTGATCAAATCGGATGTGGCACTGGACCCCTAACGTGTAATTCTCTGTGGCATTGACATTTTATCCCACCATTAGAAAGAGCATTTTTTTTTATATTTGATGTAGGAATTCTTTATTGCATGATTAAATGGTTTGAACAGAAATACCACAGGGAAACATGAACTTTACACAAGGGAAGAACGTATCATGTTTATTATTATAGGTAATTTATAGCCATATTACTTCTCTCACAAGATATACCTCTGCATTGCATAGATGATCCCCACAGAAATACTGAGGTGTGCACATCATATATTTTTCTTCTGACTTATTTATTAAAACACGTTTTTGACACACCAATATGTTGTGTGAAGTTTTATAATAGAAAAAGAACCAGCCGGTTCCGACCTTCCGGACTACATCTCCCACCCCGCAAGGGGCGTGTGGGGGGCGGACTCGTTTCGACACGCATGTCTTGGGTGTTTTTCTGTGAACTGTGGCAAAACAAGTTGAGCTTGGAGCCGCTGAAGGGGCTGCAGCTGATTGGTAGGCAAACAAACTATTGTGTTTTTTTTAATGAACAGCTGAGAGTGAAAAAGCGCGCGCGCAATAAGGACGACAGCGCGTGACTGACACGGATTCCGCGGAATTACCTCCCCGTTAACTTTCCCGTAAGACGCCTCAAACGCGCACAACGGCTGCTTCTGCACACATCGGACTAATATAGGCTGCCACGTGTAGGACAGAGCGCTCTTATTCTTCTCTACGATTATTCACTCAACACGTTTGTATGCGCGGCACGTGTTGTGTACTAAATGTACTGTGTACTAAACTGTTGGAAATGTCTCGCTCACAATCAGACGCGTTCAAAGTTGCTCTGTAAAGTTCTACGTGGAGGGATACTTCATATTCAGCTCTAGTAGAATTGGGGCTTGTGACTCACAGACTGATACTAACTTCAGTATTCGAGGATAATTAGAGCGCTGGAACGCGCCTCACGCGCACGCTACCTGTAGGCGCGCGTGTGCATTTTGAGGTAGTGAGCCTCTCTCACGTTTCTGTTCCGACTGCATCAGCGCTCCTGTGTTTGTTTTCTCCATGTCCGAGGAGATAGTGAATCGGCTGAAGTGGCAGATGTGAATCTCGTAAACTAACGGAAGCCTCCAGTCAAACATTTTCTCCCCTTTCAAACTGAGAAAAACACGTTTGAGTTAAATGATGTGTTCACAAAAGCCACTTCATGTGTGAAGGGCCGATTATTCGACTCATTAAGAAAGAAAAAAAACCTTTTAATCTATAACTTGTTTCTCCAGAAATGTATTTATCTGCTGTAGAGATGCAGAAATTAATCGATTAGTTGGATAAGTCTATTATTTGGATAATTTAAAGACTTCGCACTCTGAGAAGATGGATATCTGACCTAGTTTGGGTATATTTTTATGGGCTGAACAATTAATTTAAAAAATAATCAATCAAATTGATTAATAACAAAGACTGATGTGGTGAATGTAGTGTCATAGATTGTGAGACGTTAAATTCTTATATGTGTTGTTTTACTTAAGAAAGGGATAAAAAGACATACACAAATAAATACCGTAAATCTTCTGCGGACTTTCCTGGTCAATTCCAGCAGTGGATCTCCGAATCACCAACAGTAAGTTCTCTGTTAATTAATGATGGGCTCATGTTATCACTCCTGTTGTTGTGGGAAATCCATACTAAAGGTGGTTGAACACAGAATTAGTCAATTAGATTGCTAATTAATAGCACGCATTTTTTATTATCGACCCTTGCTGACAAGACAGACCATCGGGTCAATCGCAGTTAGGACTAGTCAGCAAACAGGGAATGTGGAGAGGACCGAGCTTCCCTCGGTCGGCTGTGCACCGTAATCTAATCGACTCTGATTAGCTAAAGCCATAATAACTAACATCAACCCGTTGATTGCCTTAGTCTTCGCAGTATCGCTGCCGGAAGGGACAGCCAGGTCAAGATGCAGCAGACAATGCAGAAATGCATTTTGAAATTTCTGTTTTTTTGGCTTGAATGAGCCAGGTTAGTTTTGTTGGTCTGGCTTGATGGAGCACACAATTCAGTATTCTTTCCTCTTTCCTACCCTTGGCATGGCTCTAAGGCCAAAATCCCCTTTTCTGCTTCCTTACATACAAATTAGTTTCCTTTCAATGAAGCTCATATGTTAGAATTACTGCTGGAAACCACGACTTTATCCTCTTCTGGGTAATTGGCAGGAGATTTGTTTTGTTAAATCTCTGACACATCTTTTTAAAGTTTACATCCTGACAGTGTAATGCCTCTAATGCTGTGGTATCACTTTACACTGACAGGCAAACAAGACAGACCAACAAACGGACCGGCATTTCATGCGGCTCTGGCTGGGGCTGTTCTCCTCGATGTCCTTGAGAGTTCAGTGATTTAAAAAAATGATTTGACGAAGCAGAACTCAGAATCAATATTAGGTGACTGCCACGTACAAAGCCTGCTATACAATCAGCCTTTTTGTTCTACTTTAAAGCCATTTCTCCCTCAACCCGTGTTGATATAAGAAGAGCAAATGCCTGAAAACCTTAATACTGACTTTTACAAGCTTGTTATTTCTCTCGACAGGCAGAGTGCAAGTCATGTATCAAGTTGTTCCGGGTGGAGCGGGAGGCACAATTACAGATGTTATCCCCAAGCAGAAGCACAGCAAGGACACTCGACCATTGGTTTGGGCTGGAGTAATTGGCTTGGTTCTGTTAATTGCAGCAGTGACTGCATGGTGTTATTACATAGCCTCTCTACGCAAAGCTGAACTGCTTAAGACTCAGCTTCTGGATCTGAATAAAGATGGGTACATTATCCGCAACCAGGGAGGGTCTATCGTTTTCAGAATGGATTTCAGGTTGGTATTTTTTCTAATATAATGATACATATTTCAGATATATGTAAAAGTATTTTTAATTTAATTTTTTTAACTGTTATCGAAGTAAATGTGTATTTTACCCCCGGCAGGTCAGGTACGCTGGATTTGGATTCCTGCTCCAAAGAAGGGGAGCTTCTGAGCTGCGGACGCACCACTGATAGGAACCTGAACTTCTTCATTGAGACAGTGCGACCCAAAGACACGGTGCAATGCTACCGTGTGCGTTGGGAGGAACTGGTTCCTGACATTCCGGTAGAGCATGCCATGACGTACACGTTTGCACACTGGTATGGTGGTGCGGTGTCAGCAATTCAACACTGGCCTATTTCTATTTCTGGCCAACAGCCTCCCAAACCCTTTGTTACTGGTGACATCTACTCCAACCGAAATGAATTTGGAGGGATTTTGGAGAGTTATTGGCTTTCATCTAACGCTACGGCCATCAAGATAAATAATTCGGTTCCCTTCCACCTCGGCTGGAACGACACGGAGAAGACCATGTCCTTCCAGGCGCGATACAATGACAGTCCCTTCAAATCAAACCCGGGTGAGGCCCCATGTGCGGAGCTTAGCTACAGAGTCTGCGTGGGCTTGGATGTCACATCCATACACAAGTACATGGTCCGCAGATACTTCAATAAACCAAACAAGGTGCCTGCCAAAGTCATGTTTCGCCATCCTATATGGTCGACCTGGGCGCTGCATAAGACTGACATTGACCAAGAGAAAGTCTTGACGTATGCCGCCAACATCCGCAAATATAAGTTTAACTGTAGCCACCTGCAGCTAGACGACCGCTACACCAGCCGCTATGGGGAATTTGAGTTTGACCAAACGAAGTTCCCCAATGCCTCGTCCATGTTCCAAAGGCTAAAATCAGATGGGTTTCTGGTGTCACTCTGGATTCACCCTTTTGTCAACTATGACTCCGAAAACTTCCATTCTTGCGTAGAGAGGGGCCTGTTTGTCCGAGAGCCTACAGGCCGGCTTCCGGCGTTGGTGCGCTGGTGGAACGGTATTGGTGGCATTTTGGACTTCACAAATCCGGAAGCCCGCGATTGGTTTTCCTCTCAGCTCCGATCACTGCGCTCCAGGTATGGAGTGTCCTCTTTTAAATTTGATGCAGGCGAGACTAACTACTTGCCCTGGAAGTTTAGCACCAGGACTCCCATTCGGGACCCAAGCTTCTTTACGAGACGTTACACGGAAATGGCTATTCCCTACAATGACAGGGCTGAGCTGCGCAGTGGCTATCAGTCGCAGAACATCTCATGCTTTTTCAGACCCATTGACAGAGACTCTGTTTGGGGCTACGAGTTGGGTCTCAAGTCTCTTATCCCCACCGTGCTCACCATCAGCATTCTGGGCTATCAGTTCATTTTACCGGACATGATCGGAGGGAATGCATATCTGAACCGCACAGATGGGAATAGTGTATTACCCGACCGAGAACTCTATATCCGCTGGCTGGAGCTGTCAGCCTTCATGCCGTCCATGCAGTTTTCTATTCCGCCATGGGCATATGACAACGAGGTGGTTGAAATTGCTCGGAAATACACAGCCCTCCATGAGAGTATTGTGGCGCCACGGGTGCTGGAGCTGGCTGGCGAGGTGCTGGACACCGGAGACCCAATTATACGGCCCCTGTGGTGGATTGCCACGGGGGATGAGACCGCCTATAAAATTGACTCCCAATTCCTTATTGGGGATGACCTCATGGTAGCCCCAGTTTTAGAGCCTGGGAAGCAAGAACGTGACATCTACCTCCCTGCCGGCCATTGGAGGAGCTACAAGGGGGAGAGATTTGATATCAAGGAGCCGCTGCATCTCACAGACTATCCTGTTGATCTGGATGAAATTGCTTACTTCGTTTGGGTGTAGCAAGAGGGAAATGTCCGGCTGAACAGATGTGATAAAGCACTGCTGCAATTTGCGTCTATGATAAGCTTCAGAAATTCAGCTTTTATGCATTCTTTTATTCTTAAAAAAATACATGTAAGAAATATGAAACCGTTTCACTAAAACAAATGCTCATATCATTTTTTTTTTGTGTCAAAAGTGACCGTCTCACTTTAAAGCCTGTTCACGTATATGAAGCATTAGTTGAAAAAGGGAATATGAAAACTGTGAATGAAATAAGGGATCCTTGTATGCTATGAAGATGGAAGTTACATTTAAGCCAAACAGATTGTATCATGGGAGGACAACTGCAGGGATGTGGTTACCGTTGGCCTCATGAAACCTTCTATATTAACTTCCATTTGACTAAGATGTCTTACTTTTCTGTGACACTAATGACTGTTCTTCTCCTTTGCATCGAGATACCTTTCAGGAAGTCAGGTTTTATGCTTCACTTATTAGGATGAGTGCTTGAAGTTTAATCATTAAACTCTCATTTGTGGAACACAGTGTCATGTAACAACTCTTAGTCCAGAAGAAGATGCCTTTTATTGGGTGCTAAATATTTTATGCTCCTCCTCAGGTAATAGCTTTTTCTGGTGTGGTTTGGAGTGTAGTTGTGTGTGTCTTTATTGTGCTTTGTCGACTCCAAATCCAGCTAAACAACTTCAGTGTTTAGTGTTCATATGATGAACACAATAACCTAAGTGATAATGGTCTGGTTAGTGTGTACCTACTTGGTATGCAATGTGGAAGTCTGTGGATGGAGTTAATTTGGCAGCATTTCATTGAAATACATTTAATTTAATTTAATTCAAATGAAATGGTACAATGTATTTTCTCACTTTGTTGTGTAGATGTGAAGAGTTTGTCACTGCGGCGATACTCCTACGTGCGCTGTGCTAACATTGACTCATTGAATATTTTACATTGATTGTATCTCATATTTAGTTTTTAATATTTGTTCATTTAACCCTTAATGGGGGCTGGGGGGGGACCCTTTAACACCCTTTACTAAAAATGTTATGTTCAAATAAAACATTTCTTTAGTAAATCATGTGATGATTAAGACACAACAAATATATTGTCTAATAAAACTGGTTTGCATGTTGACCTTAGCGGGTTTTATTTGTGCCTTTTGGCATAGTTTCGTCATAACTCTGCTCCCTATTTATAGCACTTCTCACTCAGCATCTGGGCCAGGCCAACCTCTCAGGCTATTTCTGAGACTCGCAGACTGTCTTGCTCTATGACGAAACACAGAGGCTGTATATCCATCTATATATATATATATATATATATAGAAATGTGCCTTTGCTTTTAGCTCTTTTGACACAGTGTGAGGAGTCCGTCTCTCCAGCCATTGTAACTGAACATTGCACTGATTTCAATGCGAGTTGAAATTGAACTGAATTGAATTGAGTGCATCTTTGATGTTCTTTAGTGCGAATGCATTAAAATACATCAGGTTTAAATCGTTATTTGTTTGTGAGCATTTTTGTCGTGCTTTGAATATATTAATATGTGTTGAAGTACCCATCACGCGGTACAAAAAGTACTGTTGCCAACATGAATACCACGAACAGATGACCACGACACCCACACATATAATACAAGGAGAAAAAAGACAGATGGACATTAATTCCAGGTCAGTAAGCTGACCGTGCGACCAGCGAGCCAATAACAACCTGTAACCTCTTATAGGTCTGCAATACATGAGAACTAATGTGCCTATCAGTTCAATATTGAAAGAGACACCCTTGAGGGACTTTTCCAACTTTTGGTGCCTGGCTCATCAGAGGGGTGTAATGACAAGGTGATGAAACAATTGTGCAGGTTATTTGGGGGCTGTGCTCGGATCAATAAATCATCTTGTGGCTCATGATGTAAGGCCAGAGAGCAAGTGATATAAAATGAGCAGACACCAAAAATAAAGAACATCAACTTAGATAATAGCAACACTATTCATTAGAACCAGAGCTAAAGCATGATTGCACGTCTGGGTTCAAACCGCCTGGCAGGACCATATTCTTACAGCTCGAGTCGATCTTTCAACGATTTGGGGAATTCATTCCATTTCAAAACAGCGAGATATGCTCAAGAACTACTTCACTTCATTTACTAATGCCTCATCTTTGTTCAAAATTGATCTGGACTGGCAGCCTGTGCGGGGAGGACATACATTCATTGATTAGCTGTCTGTGTGTTGCAGGGATCAATATTATTTGTCGGTTTGCTTTCTGCAATCATATTGTTTGCTTCTGCCCATCTTAGGCTGGACAAGTTATTTATGTGGGCAAGCTTTTGAGGGTAAATGGAAAATTTCTAGGAGGAGGAATTGGAAAAAAGGGCTATTTTATCGGTGTGTAACGTAGTCTTTAATATTTATTTGGCTATTAGGCCAAAGGTTAAAGTTTTTAACGTTTGTTGATTTAAATGAAAGAAGAAAAGTAAACTGATGTTTTTTGAAGGAAACTAAACATATTTAAAGTTAAATAAACATGCATATAATATAATAATACAAGTATGTGTTTTTTAATGAATAGGTTTATTTCTCATATTTGTGAAAGGGCTTGAAAAAGACATGGAAAGCAAAACAAACCATGACATCTGTTGGCGATTTTGGAATGTGGTGCTGCAGACGTCCAGAAGGGCGCAGTGTAGCTTCATTGATATTTCTCTCTCTGATATGACAGTGGACCATGGTCCAGATGTTAGGTACGCACACACACACACACACACACACACACACACACACACACACACACACACACACACACACACACACACACAGCAAGCAAGACACAAAACTGGCAGAGCCCTTCTCCCCCTTCCTTCCCCACCTGTGAGCCCACCTGTGTGTCCATCTGCAGAGGAGAGACGCCAGTTGTTCTGGTTAGGAGCCAGTGTGTCTCAAGTACCTTCCCATGTCCTCCTTCCATGACTGGAAGTCTGTCGTCTGTCCTCCTCAGTAATATATATATATATATATATATATATATATATATATATATATATATTATATTATTACACACAGAGAGAAGAATATCTAGGAACAAAAATCATAAAACACAAAAAAATTAGATGCATCTTTTGCAATTTCAAACTTTTCTAACCGGTTAATATCCTTAGGTGTTTGGAATTAAGTCATGGCCACATAAAATAAATGAAATAAATGATTAAATAACAACGTTGTAATCTATGTTTTTGTGTAATAAAATGCCCAAAATTTGACATAACATTACCTCAATTCAAGTTGTAATTTGAACAGCATAATTTAGCATGACTTGAATCAACCACAACCAAAATTAATAATACATGTTGCAAACAGCCTTTTAATCATGATCGCTAAAATCAAACATTAAATGTACTGAATACATCATGAAATTAAATGCTCTGCCATAATTCTGAAGTAAATGAACAAGAGACAGACCATGATGAATAAGCTTCAGTTTTTATTAAAAAAGCGCTCAAGCTTCTTGGAGCCAGAATGGGCGTTTATTGTAGAGGGCCACTGGGGAAATAAAACCCCATGGCTGTCTCTTGTGTGAAGTGAGAATATTTGTCCTTAACCCAAGATTTTCACTCCATAACTAGAATGACCTGGCATCTGGAGCTGCCATGGCTTGTCTGACAGAAATACGTCTGTCCTCCCTAGGTAACAAATGAACCCGACACCCCTGGGACTTGTCTCGCATCTGTTTATCTGTTCCCTGCACTGTATCGGGCTCACACTCCTCTCCAGCCTTGGTGGATTTCAGAGCCTGCCTGTGGCATTACGAGGTAAGAGATAGTTGGACTGAACTTTATTTCTGGGTTTAGTATCACAGTGTGTTAGTCAACTTAAATATTAGCTTTTTTACATCTCATATTTTGTTACTCTGGCACTCATTGTCCTTTTCTCTATTGACTTCATTTGTATTTTTAAATATGGGGTTTTTGTTCTTCTAATCTGTATCTGAAACATCAATTTATTAAAATTAAGTTAAGTTAAATTAAGTTAAAATAAAAAAATAAATAGTTTTGTCTATTTGCTCAAAACATAATATATTCAAGCAGTTGCTAAAGATTTGCATGTTTAAGCTACTAAATATACTGCCCTTCTTTACTTTTTATTTTCTACACCAAACAAACAACTTCTATTTTCAGACAAGCAATTTCATGACATCACCTCCAACTTTAGGAAATTATCATGGGGTTGTAAACTTTTCTGGACCAAGTTAACCATGAAAATAATTAGAAAAGGATTTGATAGTGAAAATCATGAGTTGCTGCCAAGTGCTGGTTGTAGCCATAGGCTGCAACTGTGATTGAGCTTTTGCAGACAATGATTAAGCTCACGTTCCGTCTGTGCAGATAGTATATACTGTAAAGTTAAGGTAAATGGCGACAGGTATGCTTTAACAGTTAAATTAAGCACTTGGGGGAAGATAACAGGCAGGGCACTTCCTCTCTGCCTCGGTGGGGGTAAGAGGTTGAACAAAATGTCAGCCACTGAGGAACAGATGCATAATTGAAACTGCTGCTACAGCCGTGCACAAGGTTGTGTGATTGATACCGCTTTCCTGTCCCCTCATGCTCCTGGGGTTTACCTGGGGAGAGACCAAGGGAGGGGGGGAAAGGTGCTTAGGTGGCTCATCTGGGTTTTGGAAGGAAAATTGGTGCCATCCATCAAACATCGCATTTAACAAACGCTAACACAGGCCGGGCCAACAAAGGATCCAAATATAAGGCAGCGAACCGGAAAACATGCGAGGTGCGGGGACTGCTGAGGGTCTATCAATCAGCCAGTCAGCTCCTTTATTTAACAAGCGAGGGCCACAGACCCCGAGGGCCACACTCTATATTCTGGCTGGTTGGGCTTGCAGTCTTTAATAGTGAAAGGATGAAAAAAGGGAGAAGAGATGAACGAAGGGAAGAAGGAAAGAGGAGCATGAAGGGATTGGGGTTGGGGGGGGGGCGATGGAGGTGCGCAAAGGTTTGGCCCGTGTCCCCTGGCGTGCTGGTGCGCTTCATCTTCTCAGTGCAAGGGCCTGGAACTGCTGCTTGATGGGATTTTCAGCCCTGTGGCCTCCGCTGTCCCAACATCCATCTGGAGGGCTACCGTGTGCACAGCGGAGAGCCGGCCAGAGCCATGAAGTGCAACCCGTAGGCCAACCAATGCCACTGATCTGAGGCTCGCGGCTCTGTTCAGTGGACAGGCCAACACTCGATGGCACACATTCCTGTCGGGCACACAGGCTGATCCCTGAGCTACTGGGTGCTCAGTGGAACAGAAGACATGCTCTGTGAGGCAGCCCACATCCAACCACTGACTACTTCAAAGCATTGGGAAATTGGAATGGAACAAGGACTCCACTATTCAGCATCCTTAATGGTATGAAGAGGACTATCTATCCTCTCTCATTGTGTTTCACAGCAGTAGAGTGTAAACACGGATATCTGTTTTTAATATTGCAGGATTTTCTCAAAACTATCAATTGAGTTCAGCATCTGATAAAGATAAGATGTAAGCTTTAGTGGGCTCCTTGTCCACGGGGTCACACAGATTCCTAATTCTAATGAGTCTGTTGGACGGGTGGCAAAAATAAAATGACGCTTCCTTTATATGTTAAACAGTCAATTTTCTTCACCGATAAGTACATTGTGATACCCCAAAGCACAGCGTCCAGAATAAAATCATTACTGCCTCTCATTACAGGATCCAGTGTGTGTATATTCCAGGAGACAGGGTAACAAATAATGGCTGAGAAACTGTATATGACGGGTTGGTGGTGAATGCGCATGAGATCCTGGGCCAATATAACCTATACGTCCGTTGAAAGCTTGGATTGAAAATGTTTTTGTTTCTCCTCAGGGCCACGCTGCGCCATTAGCATATTTTTTCTCTCTTGACGACTGTAAATTCAGTGAATGTAGCCCTGTGGTGGGTAAGGTGGGCAGACGGCAGAATGTATAAATAAACAGAGTCTGTCTGAGGGCAGCACTGTGGCCCCCACCTGCCCACCATCAATCAATATTACAGCGACCACTGGCAGCCCAATCACCCTTTTATAGGCCTGTGAAATGATCAAACATCTGTTCATAACCATGCTTCATCTATAGATGGATCATACATACGACATCAAACTCTGATGATGTCATGCTGCACAACAAGATGTAACAATGACAATAAAATTGATTTAGCCTAAAGTGTGTACAGTTGCAGATTGGGGGGTTCAAGTAGCTTAGCGATCAGTGTTTTTTTTTAAGGCTCAAATACTTTGGATTAATAAAGCCCAAATTGATGACACATGGAGTCTTATTGTCTCCTAATAATCTCATGTCCTTTTACGGCGTCCAACTGACTTGGGTGGGAAAGCACAATTCAGCGACAACTTTTTCCTTGTTTAAAGTTGTTAGTGTCGACTGAAGCCCAGTGAACATGATAAAAGTTGAGCCCGGTAACTAGTTTGGCAGCTGTAGTAGACAAAGGTTGCAGGGGCTTGGTCCATGGAGAGAGGGAACGAATCCAACTGGTCCAAGGTTAATGGTGGCCTCGAACAAAATGGATTCAATGCCAGGGGCGTGCTGACAGGTGATCTGACATGACTGAAGGTGGGCCATCAATCTCCAGTTGGCCCCATGACCCTCCCCCACCCAGCCGCAACAGCTAGGGGGCGCCAGGTGTCATGGTGCCCTGACCTGTACGGGCCTCCCGATAGCCCACCTGCCGTCTGCCTAAAGCTCCCCCTACGGCTAGAAGAGACTCCCATCACTTCACGCTTGGCTGGCATAATGAAACTGTGATTGGGAGATAGTGAACTGTGACAGGCTGTAGTAGACTCAAAGTCTTTTTGCCAAATTCGGACCACTGCAGACGGTTTCCTTTGACAGGCCGCTCTTCTTCTCTGAGCCGGCCGGACAATTTAATGGTGCAGAAATGATAATCTGCCAGAACTATCTTTAATACGCTTTCTTACTCTGGGTGACTTTTTCTTCGTGTACTGCAGATATGAAAAAAGATATGGTAAAGTATGCTGAGGCAGAAACTACTTTGTGTAGTGCGAGCGTCATTATGTGTATGTGTGTACTACCCTCCCTCCCCCCAACCCCCCTCCTGCTCCTCCCCTCCAGGGAAGCTGGCTTCACGTTAAAACCTGATATAAATTCCCTGTCACAAATCCCCGGGGCAGCCAGGCTTGTAGGCACAAAAGCAAATATTTCCGTTCCTGATCACGGCCAATCCCTTTTAACATCCCCACCCACTGACCACGCTCCCCACCCTCCTCCGAACCTAGCCCAGCACCGCAAGGCAGCCATTTGTCACAAAGTAATTATAGAATTATCGATTGGCAAGCAATTAACACCTTTCTTCTCTTTTACCACCTTCCTCCTTGCCCCAGCCAGCGCACTCCCCCTCCACCCCATCCTTTAATTTGAACTCAGAGAGAGAGAGAGAGAGAGAGAGAGACAGAATAACAGAAAAACAGCTATGGAGTACCACATTTAATCCTGCAGGCATTTTCTCCTCAAATGAATAGGGCGACAGGGACAAAACGGCTTTTCTCTTTCTTACTCAGTTTCTCCCCTTGTCTTTCCTGCTGATCTACAACAGACAGGAGGCTGCTTAGAGTCACAGCCAAACGCTCCCTTTAAGCTGGGATGAAGGAACGCGTCATTAAACCGCATTTCCAAAAGAACACCTTCTTGCATCCTTCAAAACAGCATTGCTCGCTATATGGTAGCTACGACGATGTTGTCGGGCTCCCAAAGGGAAAAAGACAGATACAGAATATTTTCCTTTCAAATTTGGCGCCGTTTACTTTTGCCTCTTTCTCCTGTCCTGTTTTCCAGCTGTCACCGGCAGTAGTGGTCCAGATGGACGTGCAGGGAAACGGTGCTAGAAGCTCCGGCTGGCAGGTGTCTTAGTCAAGATGGATGTCATGGAACATCACCTTAGTAACATATGGACACGGGCAGGGGACTTGATTCCCCTTCTGGCCAGTTTGATAACACACATATTCTCTTTCTGTTTATCAGTCGCTGCCTCCCTGCCATCTCTCACTCTCCTGACTTTCATATTGTGCTTACGGTGTCTATTAACAGGGATTTAATTTCATTGAGATTTTTTTTTCCCAGCTTATTTTTAATACCAGGATATTTGCCGCATGTGAAATGGAGCATAATATATATATATTCTTAAAGTATGGATCAGACCTAAAGTGGGTCACGGCTCTCAAGTAAAAGTACCAATAAATATTAATGAGTCCGTATCCTAGGATAAGGGACTACATTTCTAATTTGGGTTCTGCAATGAAAAAGAAACCACTGAGTTACAGGATTTCATTTCCTCTGCTTTCTCAAGTTGGGGACGCAAAAATACTTCTAAATTACAATTCATGTCACCACGGCGGGTCGGTTGTGTGTTTTTTTTCTGTGGAGAGTAGATAATATCGAGCTGCTTTTGTCACTGATCACATCAATGGAACAAAATGATTGTTGATGTTGTTGAACAAAAGAAAGTAACAAACTTTTTTCCTAACAAAAATGGATAAATAATTATTTTGAAAAAGTATTTATCCATTAATATCTATAGGGATGAGCTATATGCAATAAGGTCACGGATACAAAAAAAATCCCATTTGATTTAATATTTTAACTGCCCGAATAACGTGAATATTCATTAGCATATTCCAATAATACCTAAAATGATTTAGACCTCTACCCTCATGTGAATGGAATTCATTTGACAGCAATTTAGGAACAATTTGAAACCATTCCGAGACCTTTCTCTTTCGTGCTGTAGTGTTGATCAATAAATCCCTCTGGATGTTATTCAAACATACATACGGCCATATGGCTTCTTGAAAAACATTGTGATATTGACCTGTTTTTCTTGCCCCGCAGGCCTTCTTATTTTCTCAAAGAAGGGCTAACCCGAGAGACAGACATTGTTGTGGCCCTCTGCTCTATGCAGGTTTTATGGCTTTCATGTCTCTAACACCACGGCTCTCCATCACAGCTTCTTCAAAGCCTTCTCACACACATGGAAGGCTTTTTGGCCGATTGACATTTTGAGAGAGTTTTAAAGGAAATACGTGTTTGATCTGAGCTCGTCAGTCCTTCGTATTTGTTTTTAGGTAAAGTGCACTTCATATTTTTGTGAGCTTCTGCAATCCTCATGAAAGTCATAATATTGTAATCTAACCAACAGAAGCGCATCAAACTCATTCAGAAGAAAACCAACACAGACACTCACAACTTTCCTTCTCACTTTTTCTTTTCACTGACTTAAGAAATTCCTAAAAAGTCAGTTAGAATCCTCCGGTTCACCAATCCATGATCTTTTTAACTTACTTAAGGTGCTGAAGGAAAACAAACATTGTTTATTAACCCAAACCGTGACCTTTCTTTGCCTATAACTAAAGCAGAGTCATTTTGTTTGCCGAACTAAAAACCAAATGTTCTTTGTGGTTGCGGCGAACGTGTTGTACATGACGTTCTTCTGACTTTAAGACAAAGCAGGATTTTTTTATTAAACCTAACAAAGGAATTTCCATAAGCTTTTGTTTTCATTTAAAAAATCAACAACGTGTTTAAAGCTGATACCGTAATCAGGAACATAATAGAACACCTTTGTTATATGAACTTTCTAAGGTAAATAAAATGTCAATGGTGTGCATGCCCGAGTAGGAGAAAAATAACAGACAAATAAGAGATAAGAGACAAAAAAACACATAGAAACTAAAACATGGAGGTGATGAAACAGCCCTTTTACACAGCGGGCACGTTGACTTACTGTTGCTGGAAAAGCACAAGTGAAACACATAACATTAATGATGGCTCGGAGCCTGTACACTGTGAATTCTGCCCACATAAATATAATCAATTACACTTGTGCTTGGGTCATGTTGTTTGTGCGTTACTCACTCTTTCCCTCTGACACGGCCCACCAACTCCTGGTAGAATATTCTGTGTCTCATCGTGGCTAAATGATGGAGTAAAGAAAAGAACAGGCTCATTATGCTTACAGTAAAAGTGCTTATAAGTAGTACAAGCCAGGAGCAAGACTCATGGGATCACAAGTGAGATATGCCGAAGACTCAAACACTTGCATTATTGTAATGATGATTTTATGGAAGAATACAAGTAATAAATGGATAGATGCTCCACGTATATTTGTTCACTTTGGCTTCCCACCTTTTGATATGTGTACGAATGGCTTTTGTGAGCTTACAGGTAGTGATGAACGGATCAATTCCATAAGTATTGATCCTGTAAAACCTGTGTCATTTGGCAAACTATTGATTTCCAAAAGAGTGGGATCAATGTTTCGCACAAGAATACTGAACCCATTTACTTTCCTTTTACCGCTAAATCATTACAGAATCAGAAAATTACATTCATTCAATATTGTTCCAACACATCAGAATAAATCTGGAGATTGCGCTTTCATTCTACTTGCAAGCATTGAAAGAAAAACATGTAGAGGGAAAATCAGCGATTCAAACATCTTTCTCCTAGTGGCTGTCAACCTTTTCCGCTTCATTCACACGTAAAAATCACGTCATGTGAGAACCGCGAGAAGTCAGTGTTTGTTTCTACCTGTTCTACCTAAGCTTTATTTCTCAAATAGAAAGTGGGAATGGTATTCAAAACTCCCCCTTCTTTCAGGGAGACATTGTCATTCACTGTCAGGTGTGTTTTCTGAAAGCCACGACCTCGTTCAGTTTTTCCTCTAACAAGTCACCCAAAACAGCCCAATCCTTGTATCCTTATTAGTGCAACATCTTGCACTAATAAGTTATGAAAAGATGTGTGGTGATGGCCATCAGCAATCACCAGAAAGAGACTACCCACAGATTTATACAAGCTGATACTGCTTTCAGCTAAGTATGTCAACAGCTCCTTGTTCACACAATAAAGGGTCATTTGGTACCTAAATATATAACTTTAATACAATTGTTTTACTCTTTCTAACCTTGAAGTCAACCCCACTGACAACAATCTTGAAATGCGCGTGTGCGCCTGTTTTCTAAATGTTTAAAGTGAGACGTAGTGTCCCGGTCTTGTTCATTTCACTTCCTGTTTTATTTTGTAACCACAGATCCATGCATCTCAGTTTACTTTACTTTCTGTCTGGCTGTTTCCCACCGGTTTTGAGCCACACCCGTGGTCAGTTTCCAATCACCATCTAGACCCCAGCCATTCACCTACATGTGCCAAATTATACAAAGTCGGACCACAACACCGGCTTCAGGGCTTACTCGCTGTTCGTATTCGTTGTTTTAGTTGTTGTTGCCGGGTGTCTAGTTATTTTTGTTTTTCTCAGGCTTTGTTGCCAGTTTTTTATTGTTGTTTTCATTTGTTCTCCTAGCGTGTTAAGTCCACAAGCTGTTTTTTTGTCTCGTGTTTTCCCCTAACTTGTTAAGTCCGCTGTATACTTGCGCTGTTGTATTGGAAACAACATCCCAGTAAAACTCTAAGCCTCTTACAAAAATATACCTTCTGTTGTGTGGTGCCTCTGCACGTGATCCGATCTCTGATTCCTAGGAGCAGGAACGGTAACAGGCATATCTGGTGTGACCCAGAACAGAAGGTGGCTATTGTTAGCGACAAAGATTGAACATTTTTACTTGTGGCAACGGTGGCAGCTGTTCATTAAAAGTTTCACTTTCTTCCTCTAACATTTGTGCGCAACACCTCTGGACCAAGCTGTAACCCAACAGTTCAGAAACAATTTGCTGCATTGTGAATTATCAATGCCCTTGTATATCATTGCACTCGCTGGGCTTTGGATAGTGACTTGTTGATTTGTTTTTGCATAATGAACACAGGGAATAATGGATCGACTAAACAGGTTGGTTAAAATATCATTCATCCTCTTAATTTTTCCATAATGACTTAATAAGCGAGGGTCAGCTGGAGGAGCAACAGGTTGGCCTTTGGAAGGAGGTGTGAGAAACAATGGATGGAGAACAGCGTTGTGGGAATGTTGGATGGAAAGGGAGCAAGCTGGCAGACAGATCAGAGGACCCCGGCGCTGATATTTCTCCCAGTCGGGCCAGGACCTGTGAGCACGAGGTGGACACCCCTCATCATCCCCCATCCACACCCCTACACTCTCCTTCCAGACTCTCATTTTCCACATGATTAGCTTGCCACCTGTCCTCCGGCTGGCCCTTGACCCCCCGGGCGGCCCGAGTCACAGCACTGTTTAGCACTGGCAGAATTTCCGTTGCGACGTGCTTCATCACTGTGTACCTGACGGAAAGGAGGTCTCAACAATAATTTCATGGATTTATGCTTTGAAAGCTTTCATGAACAGGTAAAGTATTGTAGAGAGTTTGAAGAAGTCCAAACCTTTCATTCACATAGTCGATCACTTTCCGTTCACCGTCTTAGTTATTCATGCATTGTGTCTGAGAAATACAAGCTTAGAGTTGTGTGTTTGTAGCAAAAGCAAAGTTTGTGCTGAAATCAACCGACACCCCCCCAGCATATTACACAATAACTCAACAACCAGAAACACTTGCCTGGATTCCCTTCAGTTTTAGATGGCAGTCATGTCAGTGTAGTTCTTTCATGAATCAGCGGAAGGCACTGTTCACTACCGAATGCCTGCTCTTCAGCTGCATAGCTCGTACTGCTTCTGCTCACGAGACACATGTGAATGGTTTCATTGACCATCGTACTAATGCACAAATATAGTAATAATCATTTTTAGTACATGACAAACTATGACCGTTTAACAACTGTTTGGACCTCACCATGAATTAGTGCTCAAGTCAACATTTGTTTAGATGGTTATCAAATCTATGATTTGATAGATTGGTTCAAATCTTAAAATCCCTGCTCAGATCATGTCTCACGGAACAGTTAAATCCACATTATGTTAAAGTTGTGTTTCTTGTGAAAACTGACGGCAGGCTGATTTTACTTTCCCCCTCTGAATACATTTTCCACCTGTTTGAATCGGTTGTGTGATGCACAGTGGCGTGGCGTGACACACCGTGTTATCCCTTGGTAATTCAGCCCGCTGGTAATACATTTATGCTCCGTCAGAGCAGGGGATTGGCCCTGACCCATATTGGCCTTGCCTCTGATGTTGGTGGCTTTAGACAGCAGGGACAAAGACGGGGGTGACTAAAGAGGGATGGAGGTCACGGTGTGAAGAGAGAAACCTCCTCCATTTAAAATGATGACATGCCCGTGCAGTTAATACATTGTGGATCTCCACGTTCGTTTTCAGGCCTGCGTGACCATACATAATAGGCTTCTGAAAATTCATTACCAGAGTTTGGGTTAACTCAGTGATCTTCACGAATATTCAAAGAGGCTATCTGTAGTATCTGCCTTGTAAAAGTGCCACGTGCCGGTCTAAAACGTTGCACTGATGAATCTTTCAAAGGATGTTGACATCAGCTCAGTACGTATGGACAGAACAATTCAAATATATACGCATGCCAACTGATGAGGGACCTGGCTGTGACAGACGTTTTTGAGACGTTTAAGGTCATGGTACCGAGCCTACGGTCTTCATGTCATTTGCCAATTAGAGTCTACGAGCATGGAGACGCGACACAAATTGTCATATCAGACTGTTTGATGCAGATCCATGGCATTAATTGAACACAGGTGACAGTTTAGCAGCAGAGAGAAAGAAAAAAGAGGGGTAGGAGGTTGTCAGACAGAGTAAAGTTTTTCAAGTCTTTGTCCCTCCTCAATTTGCGTGCCTAATGAAGCTGAGCAGGAGTTAATAGCGAGTGTAATGACTTCTGACTGGCTGGGCCGTGGGCTGCTTCTGAGAAGGGAAAAGGCTCCGAATGGCTAACTGTGGAGCAAGGTGGGCAGAGGCAGGTAGGGAAACACTCTATGGGTGACGGAGCACGGGAAGCTGTGCTCGCTTCTCAAGAAAACTCTCTCTGGACCTTCTCTTAGCTATTCCTGTATGTCTTTGTCAAACATTACATTGTATTCGTTCCATATGAGCAGGATTATTTATCAAGTGTTCATACAGCTGAATTCCGTTACCTACCCCCCTAACTTTGACAAAAGGTAAAACTTCAAGGTCTACTAAATGAACCCTGTTTGAATGTAGCCTAGTCTAGGCCTATCGTGCATAACTTTGATCACCTCCAGTCCATTTCCTGGACATGCTATTCTCATGATGCAACATAGATGTATAATAATATGGGTAAAGTAAAAAAAGTTCTTAACTTCATGTATGAGCAGACTTTAGCATACTATCTTACGAAGATAACATATTACCTGTGCCCTGCATTCCAATTGCATGCAGGGTGAGCAACACAAAATACTCAATGCACTTACAAGACAGACCTTCGCATCACAAAATATAGAGCCCCCTCTCACTCCTCTGTTGAGGCGAGATGGGTCTTGCCATAAGATGTGGTTACCCTTTAGTTAATTAGTTTTCTCTGTGATAGTTTGTTAAATCTGCAACTATCGCTAGTTACACAATTTTACATTCTTGTACATCTTCTTTGGATGCACCCAAGAATTTATTCAATAGTAAGCAATGCTGCATTTATGTACATATTTTTCCTACATTTTGTCATTTTTGTTGAGCGGTATGTGTATTTATTTAGTATAGGTCTATATTTGGTATGGCAAACATTTCATTTGGGATGAAAAAGGCCTTTATATCATATTGTTGATACATTTTTTGCTTGCAGCCACCTCTCCCACTCAGACCACATTAGAAATATTTTTCTAACTCACCATGCTGTAATGTGAAATCTGTTATACAACAGTCACTTCATAATGAAATATGTAGACATTAGGGGCCATAATAGACAGCTTTTACAGACGGCTTCTCGCCCGGATGACATGAAAAATAAAAGTGGCAGACACTACATGGCGAACCAGACATTTTCTCTTTGTGAGATTATTGCAGTAGCTCATGTTTAGGTCTGTTATGTCCGTCGCATCTCACATCACAAGTATGATGAGCTCCCTCGTCTCTTATTCCAAGTGTCATTCAGCTTCTTATGAGAAAAAATAACTTATTATGTCAAATGCTTGGATACAAAGTAGAGAAGGAAAAAAACGTCTTCAAAATTTGGCACAGCAGCCAGCAAATATTTCCACAGCTGCTTGAATCTTTTTTCTTCTTTCGCATCTTCAAGCTGATGTGTTTTCCTGTCTTCTCTGGCTCATCTCACAGAGAATTCAGGTTGGCACCATCACCCACACTGGCCACAGTGTGCCAACACTTCTGCTGGCCGTAGGACACACTAAGACACACACGCGCGCGCACACACACACATGTACGCACACACTCAGTCCCGATGGCCACAGATGTAACAGTGACCAGCCCATCTCCAGCAGGTGTTGCTTTATAGCTATGTCACTTTGAGCCTGACTCCATCTGCCACACACAGCAGGCAAAAAAGAAAAATCCCAAACCACACTTTTTTCGGAATGCGCACATGCACATATGAATAGATATTGATGTATATTTTGGGCAGTTTGTCTTTTTTTCATAATATCGCATCATATGTTCTTGCACATACAAATTTCATATATAATATATTGTCTCCATTGTCCCTGTACATTCCATGTATTTTTCTGCAAAGGTTAATTCAGCAATATCGCAGCTGAATCCATTTGATCAGATGTCATCCTTTGTTATGTGGGTTGCGGGTGATTTAGTGCGACAATAAATCAATCTTGGTTAACCAGCTACATTTCCATCCAACATTTTTATTAAATTTCAGTGCAAGAAAAAGTACCGATGTCAAATAAATCTTGAGATCAGACAACTTTACTTTCATTTAGATTAAAGATACCCGAGGTTCTCTGAGGCATTAGTATAACATTGCCTGTGTTATAATCATAATTGCATAATCATAATTAATCACACTCTCCAGTACCTCAATAATGTTGTTTACTTGCAAAACCAAACCTGGGATTCGAGTTGCATGCATCCTTTCCTAATAGCATTGTTTAGGCTCAGCAATCCGTCATCCCACCAACAGGTAATACGATAGTCGAGGAAACAGGCAGCGCAATTAGATTTGTGTTGAACAGTGGGGCGTGTTTCTCTCCACCGTATGCTTGAATTTTTAATAACAATTCTATTTTGGAATACACCTGCCTTGACGCAGCGCTCCAGTGTCTGCGAAAGAGCAAAAGGTTGCCCACTAAAAGTGATCAAGAGATGGAGATGCTCATCACTGGCTCATGCATATTTATGCTTTATTTAATTATATGTAATGAGAGGGTGTATTTGATCTGCACGGTGCTCCTAATCAAGAGCTCGGGATGATTTTCTAGTCTACCAAACGCAGACATCTTCTAAGCGTGTATGGTAATTTGATATTTGAGATGTAGGTTTGGGGATTATGTGGGAGTAACTGCGCAGATTCCTTACTGGTAACCTTGTAAATATAATAAAGCTCCAGGTTTAAATTAAATTATTGTGCAGTATATTAATCTATATATATATAGATATATATTCTTACTAAGAATCATTTTAATGGCCTATTGCCATGAACAAAGAAATTGCCTAATTAAATTCTGCACAATTCTTTTTTTTTTTAAACTAAACGATCAACAACCATCACCTCCAGCTTGCTTAGAAATGTCTGAAGGTTTCAAAAATAGAAAAAAAATCAGTTAATTTTATTATTGGCCAATGGTTGATATGGCAAAGAAAATAATTACTAGTCTGGAATGAGCTGACAAATTTGAATAAAGAGAAGCATTTCAGTCTAACAGCTTCCATTAATTCAGCAATATAACTTTATAGGGGCCACACGATATTCATACAAGTAATTGTAATGATGCAATCCAAACATAATATACCACACTGAACCACAATCTCACAACTAATAAACTGTGCAAGAAAGAGAAGGGAGACATGACTAATGTATCACCAACAGCAGTGAAGACAAGATTTCATCAGAAAATACCAACTAAAATTGCACACAAAGATCTGATGGCATATTTCACCATACCATATGACCACCAGAGGAAGATCAAAAACCCCTGATCATCAAATAGCCCACTAATGACCGGAACAACACGACGACAAAGAAGCGAAAAACAAAACCCAAGCAACTAAGGGGCAGATTAGTAATGCATGACTTATCCAACCTTCTGAAGTCTGAATTTGCTGTCTAACGTGACCAGTCAAGCTGACACAAGTCAGAGGAGCGTGTCAGCATGCCTCTTAAAACTGTGGTCATAAACAGAGTTGTCCTCTCAGCTAATGTTCAGCATTTCCTGAAGTTCAGCAAGTGTCTGGTGTCTGTAACACCGGAGTCAAGTCACTGTGGGAAAAGTATTGCTAAGTGTCGCCCTTAAATCCACATCTCCACACATCCTATCACCACACATCCTGCTGTGGATGCAGCCCGTACTCAGAGGGGGGGTTTCTCCCCCCACAGCGACACTAAACTGCCTGTGTTTCCTAGGTTAACTTGACATTGCTTAACGTGTCTGTGTTTCCTAGGTGAACGTGACGTGATCTGTTTCCTGGTCTAACGGGACGATTTCAATTTTCAAAAAGATGTTCGAGGTGGACCCAATAAGCTGGTACCATTTCTGTTTGGAGGTCTAAACATGATGTCTGTTTCCCGATCGGAGCGAACCCGGTCAAGTTGTTTTTTTGTGGGTGGCCCCTCAGCAACTATGTCTATTCTGCGGTCCCACTTGACCTTAACTGTTCTTTGCTGCACTCTAGCATGACCACAACTTATCTTGTTGTGGTCAAACCTGACCCCGATGTCTCCCGTCCTGCGGTGTGACAGACCCTCTCTTTCACTTCTGTGAAAGATCTGTTGAAATACCACCATGACTCACTGTTGTCCAGCCAGACCCTCACTATGTCCTGACCCCCTTATCCAAGTCTGTGGTCCATTGAGACCTTCCCCTAACCGTGTCTTGTTAAACTTGACCTCTGTTGTCTCTCTGTTTCACGTGACCTACTATATGTCCCCCTAACAAACTCCCTTTTAACCTCAGCTCAGGATGACAAACCAGCTAGGATCTCTCAGTGACCGTAGTTAAAGTATTTATTTTATTCATTCACAAAATAAACCTTGTTTTGGGGGATATGTCTCATCTTGGCATTCCGCCCCCCTGGTCTATCGTAAGAAAGGATGGTCCAAGGCCTGTTAAGTATCATTGTTAAAAGTTGAAGTCTCCTGATTGAAATGAAGCTTAGGCTTAAATTCAGTTAGGAAGACTGGACAAGCTGTGCCTTTACCAGGTTGCTCCTCTATCCCTGTTGGTACGCTGTCAGCTGATTGGGGGTGGGTTCGTTCAATACTAGCCAACCAGACGTGGGCCACCACCCCTCTCCTCCAATCAACAGCAAAACCCGGCATCATAGCTCCAATCTCCAATTGCTCCAATCCATCATAGGATTGGAGCAACTTATTCTCTACCACCACCACCACTGTCTGGACTCCCAAAGGAGGCATTGCTGCTAGATAAACTATGGAAGTGCACACTCACAGTTGTGTACCATCTGTGCACAAGAACCACTGCTGTCACCAATATAACCGAGCGTTCTGGATTTGTGGAGGATGCTCTCATGACACATTAATAACTGCCTTCACCCCTCAACCCTATTGCCTCTACGGCAACACTAAAGGGACGTAATGTCTCAAACGCAAAACATTAAACATGAGCCAGTCCAGTACACTACAATAAAAAATATAGAGAGCGATATACAGAATTCCACCCGTCAAAGTGGCTAGTACCAGGGATTGCTTTGCCCGCACAGGCCAATTTACCTGCATTTGGCGGGTGGGAAAGTGCTAATGTCAAGGCATGTTCATGTTCCATTGTGCTCGTTTATACAGACGGTTGTCAAACTGAAATAATGGCCGATTTTATCAGTTCATAAAAAGTTGACATTATGGAGAAAAGTTTTAACTCGACAGCAGCTTCATTCTTATTCCAGACAAGCTGCGGTTGCTCTTTCTGTAAATATTAACGGCATCAACCCCTCTGCCCTGGAGGATTTTCTCAGAAAATTCCTTTTGGGTAAGTGTTTAGAACAGCGAGCATAAAAGCTTTCATTAGCTGCAGGGCTTGAGGAATGTGGTTTTGATCATAGTAAAAAAATTCTATATGAAAACATGCTGATTATTGGTTTTCTTGATGGTTCATCTGGCATTGGAGTTATTTGGCACATGAGATGAGAGAGCGGAAAGACGAGTTCCTGTCACATCTGTGGTTCCCAGTTCCTCTTTCCTCCACTCTTTTATCTCCTACTTGCTCCTACTGTTAGAAGTGTTCCTTAATCTAGCCTTCATTGCAACCTGTCTCTGTCTCTTTCATCCTCTGCATCTGTCCGCACGTCTGTATGCCAGCCTTACCTCTCACCTCAGCGGGCCCCCCCTACTGTCCTCCGCCATGAGGAGATGAATGGTGCTCTGTCACTCGCCAGGCTCTTCAGAGGGCCGGCGCTCCGTACGAGGAAAGTGCCAGTCATTAACAGGAGAGGGAGGAGGGAGAGAGACAGGATGAAAAATGAGTTCATTTACGGGCAAGTCCTGTGAGCCGAGTAACGTCAGCAGCAGCAGCTCACCTTCTCCTCCCTTCTTCCTCCCATCACCTTCTGTTGGTGCCCAGTGTGTGTGCGTAGCTGTGTGGGGGGGGGGTTAGTCAGCAGAAAAAAAAGGTAGCCACTTCCTGAGAAGAAGCAGACACAAGATTAAGGGTGGTAAATTGGGGTGGGAAGAGCTGAAGTGCAGAGGAGACGAGGGGAAGCTTTAGCAGGTGGGGGATAAGACGGAGGCTCATTATTCAGACTGGAAGGAACAGGATGAATTCTGGCCAAAGATTAACGCCTCTGGTCACACCTAACATCTAAAGTGCTAGGGTCAAACCATCTTAAATAGGGTTTCAGTTACTGGTATCTCAGTTACTGGTACAGTAAAAGCTACAATGCAAAGTAAGGAAAGGCTGTTGTCTATTTGTGTATAAAAAAACCTGTGCATGCCTTTAGTTTACATATAAGTCTACTATAATTGTAAATGACGCTACATTAATTAATGAAACCGGTGTTCAAAGGACTTTTCCCACAGCATTTAAGATGGGATTTTCACCACATAGTATATTGAGTCATGCACCATAGAAAGTAAAAGATAAAAGGTGTTATGCAAAAAAAAAAAAATGTGTGTATTGGGTAGCAAGTAATGAGTTAAGCCTAGTTTATGCTTCTGCGTTTTCAGAGACGCAAGAGCCCCTTGCGTGTCCCTTGCTTGCCTTTTCACCCCTCCATGCGTGCTTGCGTGTGTCGACCCATTTTTCTAGGCATTCGTCAAAAGCTGCGCAAGTTTCTCGCAGCCCGCAAGGCTGATTAGTCTGCTAACTGCATCCTTTACGGAGTCTCACATTTCCGGTTTGATAGCACAATACCGCCATTATTAAAACAAAGTTTTACGAGAGAATGGATTGAACTGATTGAAGTGCTTTTGTGGGAAGAAATCCGTAAATATGATCTCTTATACAAGCCGTCATTGGTGGACTATAAGGACGCGCGGATGGCCTCGGATTCATGGAAGTTGTGGAGGAAAATACAGGACAAATGTGTCCGCGATGAAAAGCAGCAGTGGCGATGCACGGGGCAATAAAGTCTATGATAAATAAATAAACAAACCAACAACTTCCACACACAAGACAAAACACGTTACTCCACCTGTTGTTCTGGCGGTGAATTACTCTGCAACACACGCAAGCCTTTTAGAACCATGAATGAAACGAGTGCGTCGACACAGCGGTGCGTAAAGACGCAGACGCAGAAGCATGCGCCAGCCTTTAGGCCTTCTTTGTTTCTTCCCTCTCGATTAGATACTGATACAATGTGTCAAATATAAAGAAATTCTAAGCATGTTTCAGTTGTGCTTCATACTCAACAGAATAGATAAGCTCGGCGTTTTCTTCCAAAATTCCAGACTGAAATGTGAGTTCTACCCAAAAGTTTGATTGCATAATTTATAGTTTCTGCTGCTTCTGTAACACTGTTTGTACATTGCTAAGCTGAAGATTTGAAGCTTACTTAACAGGAAGTGCTTTTACTTTGTAGAGGCAGGAAGTAGCATGGTACGCTTTGGGTGATGTAAAATGCTTGGTATGTGAACCCGATGTAGAGTACGAGAGTGCGTTATGCACACTGTTCTAATGCTGGAGTTAAGACAGTAAAGAGTTATTGTTCATGCAAGAAGTGTTCTTGTCCTCATTAGAAGCTCTATTAACTACTATCTAAAAACTAATAACCCTATAGCCTGTATTGCTGTTTTGCACAACTAGAAACTGAAGACACCTGCGTTATTGTAATTTAAGCACTGCAGAAGAATTTTAAAGCCAGGTTATGAACTCCTCATAAACTTCAAACCTTGCAAGTCCTATTTATGACTGGCCAAGTATCCAAGTACTTAAATCCGACATTAACTAAAAAATTATATAGATGTTTTGTTGTTGTAGAGAGGGCACAAGAGGCACTGGAGATTTGTTTGTGCTTTGGCTTGCAGCTTGTCTGGAAGGACAGGCCCAAATTATTGTAATGTCCCTCTTTTGCTGCAAAATCATTAAAAAGATAATCAAGGATTCGGAAGTGAATGCCAAGACAACTTCACAATTCAGGCCGGTGTAACAGCCTGTGATTTTATGATGACCAACTTGGCAACACAAGTAACATAAAAAATGTCATAGACGTAATTACGAGTGACGCTAGGACCGATGTGACCATGTGCATAACATTTATTCATCCCACACACTGCAAACAGATATAATAATACATAATTATTTAGAAAGGTTATCTCTCTTACATATAATGACATTAAACAAGAGTCTATAGCCTGTCTACATACAGCATTTGCATTTGAAAATCAAAATTATTTAACACAGTCTTGCAAATAGAGGAAGGACTGTTAGGGAGGTTTTTTGCAAGTATTTGACCTAAAGTGACACTAGATGAAAAGTCAGAGGATTCTTTCGCTGGAGACCATGACGTCTGAACAAGAGCCATTTGTTAGCAGATGGGCTACTGTCCTCTAAGCAAACGCTGAACCATTGATGATGGTAATAACTGGGGCTGTCAACATAAACACGTTCATCTTTGCAATTAATGTGGCCGAGATTAATGCAATAAAATATTTTAATGTAGTTAACGTACATTTACGTTTACGAACCGTCGCTGGCTGCAGTCGGTTACATCGAGATGGAGAAAGCTTTTTGCATTCGAAGTAAAATAGAACACGCGACAGACAGCGGAGAAGTTGGCAGAGGAATTGCGTGTCAAACAGAAGGGGGGGGTGAGTGTCAAACGGACCACTTAAAGCACCGATATGCTAAGCTATCTAAAACTGTAACTGTAAAGCAATCAACTGTAAAATAACATTAACAATTAAACAACAGTGTCTAAAATACACGTTTTTCTAAATGATTACTCATTCTTTTTATGATTTAGTTTTTAGAAGAAAAACAAACATTCATTAAAAACAACATTGTAACAACAACATTCATCAATGGCCATTTATTGAGATTAATTAATTTTGTGCAATGAATTAGTTCATTTTTAAAAATCTGTTGACAGCCATAGTAATAACTTATTAACCTAAAGTTCAGAGACATATCAGTCTTAATGCGTTTACCGTGCAAAATGTGCTTCTGATAAACTTACAGTGTAACACCCTGCTGGGCATTACTGGTTGTAGTGGCACTGAACTGTAGCCGACCCTTTGCTCTGAACCACTTGGAAGGAGAGGGCATAAAGCAAATTCCTCTGTGGGGATCCATAAAGTGTCACATCAATACCTTTTTTTTGGTTGAAGTTTTGGTCGTTACTACGTGTTTCCTCTCTAACTAGTGTAGCATTAGTCCCTGGTTTGTTATAGAGTATTCAAATCTAATCAGTGATCAGTGAAAGTGAGGGAAGTGGATTTTACTCCTTTTTTTCCGACTTTTCCGACTTCCGCTTTTAAAAATAAGGAGTACTTTTGCATTATTTCAACACATTGATTTTTACTTCTCTTAGCATTTGATGCTGGCTGGATTTATGTTTACACCACTTTGGGGAAGTAATCAATCGCTAACGTTGATCCATATCAGTGACGAGCCAAATAGGTCGAATAGGCCTCTGTTTAATTACAAGCTTAATTTGATTTACTGTCCTGCAGTTCTGATGAAGAAATAGCCAAAAATAGATAAATGGAGAGAGACTTGTTACAAACAACTGAAAGGCCGTTTTCAGTTAAGCCATTAAGGTGAGAAAAAAATGTGCAGCATTGTTGTGCTTTGTGTGCGGTGGTGTTCCCCTCCGTGATTTAATTTCATACATCATAAATGCCACTTTGACACTTAGTCAGGCGTGTGGCGACTTGAAAGCAGAAGCCATAAATTAAATCAAAGCCATTTCCCCCTTTTCTCCCCGTCCAACTTCTTCCTGATTTACTCTGCTCGGCTGGAGAAGGCTGAGGTGTTGGAGCGCTGATTAATGTTGCTCTTTGAGTGTTGAACACAATCACGGTGGTTTGTATTAGTTAGAGCTTTCACACAGTCCTGCGTGTGACTTCAGACGGGCTTACAGACAAAGCTGGCAGACAAGGAGAAAAGAAAAACCTGTGTCCTAAAACGGCATTTTCCAAAATAGTAAAGTAAAACTGTGCAGGCCTAAAGAATGTACTTTGTACTCCCTTCATCATATGGAAATTCGAAGCAAATTCTGGAACACCGCGCCTTGTGGATACCGAATGAACGTCTCCTTCTCTGCATCTCCTGTCATCAGCATCATGCTGCCGTGATGCACAAGCCATTGCACTTCCATAGGCCACACGGCTAAATGATTGTGAATGCTTCATGTAGCTTGACTAATAGCACTAAGCTTTTTGACAATGCTCTTAAGTGCATCATACATCTTCAGTTTATCACCCCTGTGTTTGTAACACATTTTAGCCACTCATAAGCCAACGCTCCTTGGGGGGGGGGCGAGAAAAACTGTGTTTATGGCTGAATTTTCCCCCCGGGCTCTGCCATTAGGTGCTGCTGACTTCCTCAAGCACTGTTTAATTTCGGGATCCAATTGGAAGTACACATTACAAGTGAATGGTTAAGGTAGTTATTGATTTTAAGATAAATAACACACAGAACCAATACATGCCAGCTTTTGTTTTACATGTACCTTTTCATTACTTCACACCCCTCTTTCTTCTTTTATCCAAGCCGTTTTCATGTTTGTCTGTCGGCATGGCTTTTTCTTTGTCCTCCATCCTTTTTTTTCTTCTTCCACAGATCACAACTCACCCTGTGTCTTCACAATTTTACAGTTCGGCTCATTTCACTGGTGTATCAGCTAGATAGACCCGCTGTGAAGAAAATCTGCCCCAGAGCATTGGGGCCACATGCGCGTCGTGGCTGGTGCAGCTGCGTCTCGGCTCGCACTGCTGGCTTCTCCCTGCCTGTACCCAGCGGTCTGTCAGGCAGCGAGGCAGGGGAAACGGTGGGATAAATGATTATTTATGATCTGCCACCTCCCATCCTCTCAGCTATCCCCAGGCCCCATTCATTACTGCTGCAGGCTGCCACTGCGCAGGAGAAAACACGCACACACACAGACACACTCACTAAATACAGTAACGTGAGCAAACACGCACTTTTGGATACTGAGCCCGGGCA